TCCCTTTCTCTCTCTCTAAATCAATAGAAACGTATCCTCGGGTGAGGATTTGAAGAAAATAAAGAAAAAACATTTTTAAAAAGAAAAGGACATTGTATTTGTATCTTAAATATTGACATGAACAAAAGAGTAGTTTTAACAAAAGGACAATGAGAACATAAAGATTCTTTAGAGCAGGGGGTAGCAGATTTTTCTGTAAAAAGCCAGATAATAAATATTTTCAGCTTTGCAGACGAACTACTCATTTCTGCTGTTGTAACAGGAAAGCAGACATATACATTTTTAAATATATAAATTAATGAGTATAGCTATGCTTCAATCAAACTATTTACAAAATCAGGTGACTGGACAGGTTTAGTCCACAGACCATAGTTTGCCTGGCCCTGTGTTAGGGTATTTCCAGGCACTTAAAAATCCTCTGAATATCAATAGCATTCATTGTCTTTTTTTTTTTTAATTGTTGAAAAAAATGAGTGCAAATAGCAAAAATTCAATAGTACAGAAAGCTTTGTAGTGAAAAGTGAATCATCTGGCCATGAGCCCTGCTCTCCTCTCTAGGGCAACCACTGCTACCGGTTTCCTGGTGATCTTTTCAAAGTTACTCTGCATATATAAGAACAAACACATATTCCTTCTAATTAAAACAGCATTATAGAGGATGTATACTGTTCTGTATCTTACTTTTTTCATGTGAATACACACATAGACACACTACTTTGTTAATACAAAATATTATGTAATTTTTTTATTATATTTTATATAAGTACAAGAAAGAGTAGAGGAATGTATCTGGTCTTCCTGTTCTCAAATTAAAGGTAAAGATTTTTATCAAAATCAAGGTCAGGTTTCTCTCATTCTCCTGATTTAGTAGTCATGGGAGCTGAGTTGGACATAGGAATAAAGAGGAATCCCCTATGATGGCAAAAAAAGGAAGACCAGTAGCATTCATAATAATAGCATTCATGTAAATAGTTCTTCACCACCCAAGGCCTTGCAGTTTACTTCCTACACCACCTCTGGGGACACACATAGAGCAGGCATATTATACTAAGGAAAATTGTTGACTTGAATTAAATCTGTATTTTCAGTTGTCTGGACTTGGAGCAGTGTTCTCTTAAGGTCTTGGAGCCTGAAGGAAGCCCAAGCCTATGTCTGCTGAAGCTAATGGGTGAAAAAGGCTGTACAGTCACAGAGCTGAGTGACTTCCTGCAGACTATGGAACACACTGAAGGTCTTCAGCTTCTGAGCCCCCCAGGTAGGTTTTTCCCTTGAGTATGTTCTCCAGGAGTTCATGGAGACAGACTTGGAGAAAACTATTTTATTTGACCAGATGAATTATATTAAATAGTTTTGGAAAAGGTAAATGTACAGAGCCTCATTATTTCCCCAGATTGACACATATAAAGAACATATAAAAAGCAAATACAATGCATAAACATTGAATTGTGGTTCAAAAAGTCATGAATTCAAGACATTTGGGACAAGTAGAACAATTTGAATATAACCTTCATATTAGATATTAGGGAATTATGTGATAATGGTGTTGAACTTCTACCGAAGAATGTCTTTATTCCAAGGAGATGCATGCTAAAGTATTTATGGACAAGATTTATGTTTAAATAGTATAGCCACAAATAAATATACACGTATTTCTTTATGTGTATGTATGTATATGAATGAGATAAAGCAAGTATGATGAATATTTATTGTTTAAGTTTTTGCCAATGCAAAGCTTTTGAAATGTTGATTGACTCAACCATATGATTTTTACCCCCTAAATATATCAATATTGAGTGAGATCTCTCCCTTCCAAAGTTAGACGTGAGGAATAGGAAACAGCCCCCGCCGTCCACCACTACAGATAGAGGTGGTCAACTACAGTAGCGTCAGGCAGGAGGGACCGGGTCAGCTCAGTCATCTGATGGCAGCAGTTCTGCAGACCTTTCTCGGGTGTCCAGTTTGCCATTACAAGTCCTGCTAAAAGCAAAGAAGCCAACAAGATCCAGAGGGCCGTGGACTAGGGACTCGATGTTCTCTATTTTGCATGGTTTTGATGTATGTATGCAATTTTTATTACACAGCAAACTTGTTTGTGTGATAGTATTTTTAAGGTAACACGAGGAACGTAAAATTATTATTCAGGTCTTATTTTTTACTTTATCAGTTCTGGGGTTGGGGAATTAGGGGCACATGGTAGTGGTGTGCTATCAGTTACATGAAACCCCAACTCAGATTGGCATAATAAAGGGAGCATGTTGATTCTTCTACATGAAAAGCCTTGAAGCAGGTTGGGCTTTACGAGAGGAGATGGGGAACAACCCTGTTTCCAAGGAGTTGGTTCATTTTCGTCCTTGCTCTTCCTTTCTTGTCATGGGCTTTCCCCAAGGCTGACTTTCTACGTAGGCACATGGTATCTACTAGCTATTCTTGCATTCGTCTTTGTCCCAGCAAAAATCATAACTAGATTCACTCTAATTAACTGACTTTGGTCACATGCCTGTCCCTACACCTGTCACTGTGGCCAGGGAGATGGAAAGTGCTGAATTGCCTGGCTTAGAGCCAGGAGTAGAATTGGGTTGAGTCAGCTCTCTGGAAACCACACCAAATAAAATCCACACATGGATCACCAAACAAAAGTGGCCTGTTGGAAGGAGGAAGGGAGTAACAGATGTTAGGAGGTTACTAAAAAGTCTACTACAAATGAAAAGGATCCTGGATTATAAGCCAGGAAACTCAGACTTTCAGATTATCTTCTGCTTTACAGGGCCCAATATAGATGATAAAATAGGCCTATAAATGCCTCCTTTGTGTTACCACTGTATTGGCTGCTTGACATGTTTCTCATTGCCTCTTCATAACAGGAGATATGAGGTAGGAATAACTAGCTGCTAATGCAGACCCCATCTACATAGAACTGTCTGCATAGAACAGTTCCCCAATCAGGAAACTTCTCCATAAGGTGACATTTATTTTTATATCCCTAGTGCCTAGAATAGTACCTGGAAGTTGTTACGATGAAAATCTGCCTGTCTGCGTCACTCTGTTAGCTAAGTTCTCATACTTTATAGAATACCAGGACCTCTGACAACTTAAGAAACCTCTCTGAGAAGTAAATGTAACTTTTATATCTTATTATTCTTTTTTAGTAATTACACTGAATTGCTCTGACTATTGGTTGCCAAGTCTGTAAATTGAGAGTAGTTGTGCTCTGCCCTGCAGAGTTGTAGGAGTGACATGCTGTGTTCAGTTGCGTCTAGACAGCAAGGGAGGCCTCACATCTCATGATTTGTAGAGTGAGCTCTGGCCTGAGACCTATGGTTTCCAATTTTTCAGTTTCCCATGTATTAAACTGGGCTTGACATAAATTGGGTTACATTTATTTATGTGTAGTCTGAAATTTTTAACAATATATTTTAATTCTTAACAAGCCAGCAATGGATACAGTGCCAAACTAATAAACCTCAGCGATCTTTTTTTAAAAAATTCATTTCTGCTTTTTGTGTTTTTCTCGAAATAGTAGGATTAGCACTTTACTCTTAGTGTTCTTCTATGTAGATCATGCTGATATTTGACCTAACAAATATAAAATGTTACCCCTGGGACTTTTTCACGTTCCAGGTGGGAATAGGACAAGGAACGCAGTGTGTTCTACATGACACACAGTTCCTGTGAAGTTATATGTCATATTAGCTATAGTCCATTAGGAATCAGTGGTTACTTGAATGTTAATTATTGATTTAAGAGGAAATATTTTGGAATCTAACAAAGCTCAGTGATTTTAGGAAGAAATAATTTACTGTTAGCTTTCTATCTGCATCTTATGTGGGTAAAGCACTGGATTTACAAAGAAATATAAGAATTATGAATAGAATTTTAATACTTTAATAAGGCTATCAGTAAGAAAAACTATTGTAATTATATTAAGAATGGAAGCTCTGGTATAGAATCAACTTAATTAGGGATTTTTCTCATTCGTTCAATAAACAATTATTGTTTTCCAGTACCTTTGCTGTGCCAGGCATTATGCTATGAACTCAGAGGTAACTAAAGGAATGGTTTCTGCCTGTTGAAAGTTCATTGTCTACTAAGGCAGACAAACCTATAAAGGATTACGTCCAATACAGTCATAAAAACAAGTGTATAGAGAACAAGTGTTATCTGATCTCCAGTTTTTCCTTTTCAGTGTATTCTTGAATCTCGATGAAAATACAAACTACAAATATTGTTTCCTCTCATTTTTGTAGTAATGTAATTTCATGGAAGAACGTTAGTTTTTATTTGACAGAAAGCCCAGTGATTTGGCTGTGAACCTATGAACAGGCCTTTCAGACCTAACTACAGGGGAAAAAAGGGGAAGTGTTAGATTTCTTTCGGTCTAGTTTTGGCATATTCCATTTTAGTGGCTGGTGGGGCGGCAGCCAGAGATAGCCAGAGGCAATGGCTGTACTACGGAGTTCTCTGTTTTTGAGAAACTGACCAAGTTTCTTTTATGTATTTGTTTGGGTAATTCAGAAGTAGCTGGGGCAGTGTTACGCCATCTCTCACAGGAGCAATTCCCTTAATTAGGAGCTAACTTCAGTGGCCCCTCTCTTAGCATGAGGTCTGAGCTGAGGTAACTCACCCCAAGGGTCCTGTGGTCCGTGGGCTCTGACACCCGATGTATTTTCTGCAGGAGTGCCACAGGACTGAAGTTTCACCGTCTTTTACTTTCTCTCTAATCCCGCTTTTCCACAGCTCGTCGGTTGGCCAGCTTGCCCCTCAGTCCAGTCTTGCCTGTACTTTGTTAGAGAAATTGCTTATAGTTTTATGCTTGGGTGGTGTCCATCCCCATTTTCCAGTACTAATGGTTTCCCTACTTTTTGTTTCTTTGGTCATCTCAGTGGTAATTGGAAGGGGGGGGTGGGGGTGGGAGCATTAAAGAAAATGCTGAAATTGTTTGACCCAAAGTCCATAATGGTTTTTTAGACCTTTTTTTTTCCTCATTTTTTTCATTTAAGGATCAAAAACTCTGGTCTCAAAGCAACCAATATTGGCATCTATTACCTTGGCAAATGTAGACAAGCTTAAATGTGCAGTTTAAGATGTTTTTATTTGTTTCTTTTGTTTTCAGTGAACATTTTGAGTGCATATTTTTAGGCTTTTTATCAGTTAGAGTTGTGTAGAAAGTTGCCAAGGAAGTAACACCCAGACCTGGAATTGGTTTAGCAGAGGCTGGACAATAGAGCTATTTAGAGAGAATTAATATTTTACATGTGGGTTTCACTAGGTGAATCCTAAGGTTCTTTCCAACTTCTGTTTTGTGCTGTTGCCATTTTTTCTCATTCTTCATATAAAAGGGGCTTCACTCTCCATACGTATCGGATGGCACAGGAGACCTCTTCAGTGGCATCTTTTCCACTTGCCCTGCCCCTTTTTATTTCATAGCATTTCACTTTTTTTCTTTAATCCCTTGTAGCACACTTACTGTTATGTTTCTGATACCAATTTTATTTTTTATTACTTTTTCGTCTCTAAAACAAGATTGTTGAATATCATTCTTTAGTATCCAAAATACCTTTACTTCTCATTTTATCTTCACAGTTCTGTCAAGGAACAGAAGGAGTATACTATTATGAACATTTAAAATTTAAATGTGACCAAACATTTATGTGGAACATGAGATTTCCAGAAGTTATCATTTGGCTAGAGTCACAGTTATTGACAAAGGTAGATCAGAGCCCAGGCCTATTGACCCTGACCTGAACTCAGTATCATTTCCATAACACTGGGAAATGTCTGGGTTGTTTGGGAAATTCAGTTATAGATTATTACCTCAGTTGCCTCTTTTATCCATGGACTTCAATTTTTTTTGTTCTTGCCAAATGAAAAAGTATTCAAATACTAGATCGTATTTATAAAGGACTTTTCTTGTTTATGAGCGACAAATTTTCAAAAGGAAAACTGTCAAGAAGTGAAAAGAGGCAAAGGTGGAATGGATGGGAATACGGGTAAGGAAGCAAAGAGAGAGAGGGAGCATAGCGGAAAATGAGGTCTGAAAGCATGTGTCTGCACGAGGGTCACTGGGCAATGCAGGAGAGTCAGGGATACACTGACGAGCCTAGGTTTAGCCACAGTAGGTGCAAATGGGAATTGGCTTGAAAGAGGGACATACATAGATGTACTTTGGTTGTGTGATCAGGGGAGATTGAGAGAGGAAGAGGAATGGTATTTATTCTGGGACACTGTGGGGCACTCTTAAATGATAGCTTAGAAATTCCAGAATAACTTTGAGGAAGAGTTTTAGATGGAAACTAGTGGAAATTTTTTTGATTCATGGCCTCTGAAAATAGATGCACTGTAGTGGATATGCTGGATCTGTTCCTGGGGAAGCTGTTTATAAATTACACCCATATTCAAGTGCATTGTGAGAGAATAACGCACCTATGACGAATCCTTTTGTCAGGTCAAGATTCACCCTGGGCTTTCTGTTTTGGCGTGTGTTGAAAGCACAGTCCTCGTGTTCCATATACCTAGTCAAATTCTCCCTGGCTTACAAGAAAATAAGTAACCTCTTTGACTTCTTTGCAGATGTTACCTGAAAACAGTCCTGTTTGCCAGGAAGCTATTCATTTACCCTTTAAAATAGCACTTTCGTATGCCTTGGTACACCCTCCACAGCACTGCGCCATCTTCTTTCCTTACCTTTGTTCAGCACCCCTGACTCGTGGGTGCTGGGCGGGTGGTTACAGGTTGACCATAGTTCCCTGTTGCACAGTGCTCTGTGGGAGGAAGGAAATATGTGTGGTTAAAACATGGGAGGTATTGTGACTTCTCTTCTTTACTATTCACCAAGGGCGGTTTCCAAATCACATTTTTCCTTTCAATTTTCAGTCTTTGAGGCAATAAGTAATAAATACATATATTTGCTTGCTTGTTAAAAACTAGACAACTAAAATTGTTGCTACAGGACAGACATACAAACTTTGAGTTTGAATGTACATTAAAAATTGTTAGTCTTACCTCCCACACCAAGGAAGGACATCTTTTAGAACATTCTTGCCCTGTGGGCCCTTTCCATTAAAGTCATTTATTCCTTTGTAAGACACTCTAGGGGTAAAGCCTTTTCATTTCCATCATTCTTGTCTCTTTTCTCTTTGTGTAATAGCAGAGAATATTTGCCATGGTAAACTGATAAGCACTGTCATGATGCAAGACATTATAACTCTGCCTGATACCCTCCCTTCAGTGAGAGAAACTCGCTGCGGAGGAAGCTGGATTAGCATAGGCGGTGCCTTAAGAATCACTGGGAATTGGAGGGTGGGGCCTTTGGGGGAGGCCATTAGGTCATGAGGTGGAGCCCTCATGAATGGGATTAGTGTCCTTATAAAAAGGACTTAACAGAGATCTCTTTCCTCTCCCTCCATGTGAAATCACAGCATGAAGACAGGTTCTGTGAGCCAGGAAGTGGGTCTTCACCACACCCTGGACCTGGAGGCATCTTGATCTTGAAGTTCCCAACCTCCAGAACGGTGGAAAATAAATGTTTGTTATTTAAGGAAAGGAAAAAAAAAAAGAATCACTGAACTATGTGAGGTGGTAGATGTGTTAATTAACTTGATTGTGGTAATCATTTCACAATGTGTATGTATATTAAATCATGTTGTGAATGCTAAATATATACAATTTTCATTTGTCAATTATACCTTAATAAAGTTGGAGGAAAAAAGAGTCTCTGGGATAACAAAAATAGGTTTTTAAAGCCCAAGAAAACCTATGTTTGCATCCTGGTTCTGCCATTTTTACAATGAAAAATAAATTAGTCTCAGAGAGGTTAAATAATTTACCCAAGGTAATTTGGGTGACCTGTAAATTACTTAACTTCATTTTCTTCATTGTAACATAGATCTAATTAATATCTAACTCATAGGGTTATTTTGAAGGTGAGCAATCAAAGTGTCTGGCACATACAAAGCAGTCAGGAAATTGCTTCTACAGTAATGATTTTTTTTTATTATTATACATTCATTCAACAAATATGTGTTGAACACCCACTGTATCACCGTATGCCAGGCATTGTTTTAGGAGCAGGGTAAACTGGTGACTAAGAAAAACAAGGTCATTGCTCCTGTGAAGCTTCTGTTTTAGTAGATGAGACAGACAGTAAGAAACAGACGTTTCAGGTGATTAGTGCAATCAACACCACAAAGCAGGATGAATGAAATAGAGAACCAGGGTGGGAGTAGCTCATTTGGAGACATTGCCCAAAGAAGCTGGAGAATCTGCCATGAAACAGTGGGAGGCTGGAGGGAAATCCAACAGAGGACCTGTAAGTGGAAAAGCAGAAAATAGTTTGTTTTCCGAAGGAAAGAGGGCCAAAGTGGCTGGAGTGTGGTCAGCCAGGAGCAGAATGCTAGGGCTGAGGTCAGAGAGGTCAGTTCACAGAGGCCTCGTAGGCCATGGTAAGGAGTTCAAATTTTTCTGAGTACAGTGGGAGGTCAGTGGAGGATTTTAATAAGAGGAATGAGATGGATTAATTTATGTTTTTAAAAGGCATTGGACTGTTGGTTGGAGGTGAGGAAACAAGTTAGCAGGCTGTAATGGTCGTCAGGAGCTGATGGTAGCTTGAATTAAGATCATGACATTGAAGATGATGAGACATTGGAAAAGCTTAACTCACAAGACTTGAAGATAAATTCCATGTGGAGAGTGAGGGAGCAAGAAGGAGGGATTCAGGAGTGCCTGCTAAGTTTTTGTCCTGCATAACTGGACACATGGGGGTAGGTAGACTGGAAACCCGTTTATCCTCCTTGAGATGGGGAAGAGTGCAGGGTCTCATGGAGAGGTAGACTGTTCAGGAGGGATTTGGGACGCATTAGGCTTGAGATGGTGATAAGTCATCTACATTTTAAAGCCAATTTATCCACAATTCCTATATTTCTCAGATTCATGCTTGTTCCCTTCTATTGTTGCAACTTTATTTCCCTTTACCGCACCTAAACTTTGAAATTCAGAATCTCTGTATCTTAAAGTTGTGATGTAACTCTCTCCTGACATCAAAATAGGCTATTGTGAATTTGCTGGCTTAAGCAAGAGTGCTCATCCCATTTTCTGACTCACCAGGTACATTCCTACCAACATGTCTTACAGAATTCAGAAAAACTGTTATTTCATCTATCGATGCTAACCTGGCATCAACATAAAGAATTAATGAGCCCGACCAGGCATCGCTCAGCAGTTGAGCATTGCCCTAGTATCCAGGAGATTGCAGTTCGATTACCGGTCAGGGCACATGCCCGGGTTGCGGGCTCTGTACCCAGTTGGGGCATGCAGAAGGCAGCCAGTCACTGAGGACTCTCATCATTAATGTTTCAACTCCCTCTCCCTTCCTCTCTCTGAAATCAATAAAAAAGATATATTTAAGAAGGAAAAAAAAAAGAATTAATGAATATGAAAGCTCTCCCTTGGCAAAAGTTTTAAATTCTTTTTTGAGAGGCTCTACTCTATTTACTAAAGATTTTCTAGGGTTTCTCCAGACCCTTAAATGTAGTAAATAATTACTCATTTTGGATTTGGGTCTTATTTGGTATCTTTCTGGCCTGGATTTCACATACCTATTTTACTTTATCTACTGTTTTTTCCCTAGAAAATGCGGTACCTTTGATGTATTAAAATTGCTGTTATTTAGACTAACACTCTTCAATTGTAATCTTGCTTTGCTCCTTTTGGTTGGTGGGTTGAGAGGAAAAAGAAACTTTCAGGAGATCATATTCAGGATAGAGGAGGAAAGAAAATAAAAGTAGGTGCAGGAAATTAAGTTTTACGTGTTTTAGGATCTTTTTTCCTTCCTTCCTGAAACCCAGCATTGTGTGTTATAACCTTGGCAAATGTAAAATTTCCTAATTTTGTCTAAGTTATCTGTTGTTACATAACAAATAACCTCCAAACCATCAGCTTAAAACAGCAACCATTTATTATCTCCCTCTGCTTCTGAGGACAGAATCCAGAAGTGGCTTTGCCAGGTGCTCTAGGCTCACATCTTGGCCTTTAATGAGATGACAGTCAAGCTGTCGGCCAGGCTGCAGCCACCTCAGGGTTTGACTGGGTTTGGAGCAGGAGGCCCACATTTCCTCCCTCACTTGGGCCTCTTTTCAGGGCCGCCCGAGCATCCCTGTGTGGTGGCAGCAGGCTTCCCCAGAGAGCGTGATTGAGAGCGGCAGGAGAAGGGAGGGGAAGGGTCTTTTCATTGACTCCAGGATTGTCTTTGAAGCTCCTGTCAAAAGTTCTCCAAGTTTCCATGCTGGTAGTCACTACTCAAATGAGAAATGTTTGTATCCCATGTATCAAATTTGTATCCTGCTCTTCTGGTTCTCTGCCTCTCTGCTTACAGAATAATTGTCATTTTAATACTAAATCATAGCATTGAAATTCAGTTGTCTTTTGTAGACATATTTAGTGGCATTTTGACTCAACACTTGTCTTACTAACAGTGCACTAACTTAATCGAACTATGGCCATATGATTTATGGCCAAATATTCAAAGAGCTGTCACTGAAAACTATGTTGTGGCTGCTGCCTGGCAGACATCTATTACAAGGTGCATCCTGATTCAGACGTGTTAGAATGTGGAAAAAATATTTCTAAGAATTGAAGAAGTGTGACAAACAGTTTTCTGGCCCAGTTGTGGGAAGTACAACAGATCAAAGTCTTCTGTGAGCAAGTTTCTTTCCTCCTGTTTTTACAAAGCCTGGAACTTCACGAGCTCAGAATCTGGTGGGGAAGGAGATATGAATGGGTAATTTATAACAAGGATGAATATGCAGGTTATTTCCAAAATACTTCCTTTTTTGGTTTCAGAAACGTAAACAAGGAATTCCCCCTCTTCTGTAACTTTATGTAACTTTTTTTCTTCTTTTTTTTTTAGGAATAAAGATCACTGTGAACCCAGAATCAAAGGCAGTCTTAGCTGGACAGTTTGTGAAACTGTGTTGCCGGGCAACTGGACATCCTTTTGTACAATATCAATGGTTCAAAATGAATAAAGAGGTAATTTTTTAATGGCTTTTAATTCTTCTGTCATAAGAAGATAGAATAATAGAAAATGAATTAGGATTATTATTAGCCCCAATATGATTTTAGGAATTCTGATCTGATAGACACTGCAGTGTTTATTGCTGAAATATTTAATAATCATTATTTTGGTAAGACAATTCCAGAATTGTCTTTACAAAAAAATGTAAGCAATAATAAAACCAATTCTCTACTCTAAAAATTGTGGAAAATAGGGATTGCTTGGAACAACAATGTTAACAAAGAGGGAAAAACAGTGTATTCTAACATAGCTATAAAAATTCTTTAAAGATTTCCGAGGTGACATGGAAAGCTAATGCAGTATTATTTTGAGTATTCCACATAACTGTATTGTATCAAAAGATTTAGACTTTTGTGAGATTCTGAAGTAGAACTCGGGTGGACGGGGGGCATTTATTTCTCTTGTGGAAGTATTGTATTCCTGTACCGCCCAACAAGTAATTTAAAATCGCTATTGGAATTCTCTTTTCTTACAAGTTCTTTGAGCTGCTCTGCCACTGGGGAGTTCTCACTGATCTGGCTGGCCTGTGTTTGTCTACATTTGCAAACCTAAAACTAAGTTAAAGTGTTGTTCTAAGATTGTGATCTTTCCTTTAATGGGGTCACCTATGCCTTAGAAAAAATGTGTGGTTTTATACAGTTTTTTATTCCCATCCCTCACACGCAGGTAAGGTAGTGCAGCTGTGGACTATAGTAAGAAGATTGAGTGTAGGGCTCTGGTGCTAGACAGGCCTCTGTTGGAACCCTAGCTGTCATTATTAGCGATGTGAGTGCCTGTCGTCGGGGGTTGTGAGAATCGATAGACAGGATGGTCTATGTGCCTAGGCTTTCAAGAGGTGGTATACATATTATCTCAGTTGCAAAGTTGCCTTCATTTTAATAAATGCCTTTTGAGAGAGGATAATGGATAAAAGTTACTATATTAAGTATATCGTTTGTAAATTATGTCCCGATCTGAGAGGCAGAAATGGAGGACTGGGGAGCACACCTTAGATTTGGAGAGTGGTAATGGACTTGAAAGCCCCAAAGAGTCCAGTTTGTCAGAACGCTCTGGCGTTTGTGGTCTGTTTTAGGAGCTGTTCATTTACAAGGACTTCATGAGCATGTGCCTATCCCAGGCTGGGCCCCAGGCCGTGATGATGAAGCACTGACACACACGGTCCTGCCACCCCAGCGGGGAGAGGCAGACAGGGCACAAGTAAGAAATTCCTTGAGTTAAGAGCTGTGAGGACAATAAACAGAGTGATAGAAAGTGAGAAGCCACTGCAGGTGTTAAGCAGGAGGAGTAACATGATAGGATTTGTGTTTTTAAAACACAGACTTACTGCTTGAAGGAAACAAGAAGACCAGTTATCTGATGCTGTGCCAGACAGGAACAGCGGTAGTGTGGGCCAGCGTGTGGCCGAGGGCATAGAGTCAAGTATGGCAGTTTGTTTTAGAGACCGAGTTAACCAACCCCATAGACTGGAAGTAGAGCGTGAGGAAAAGGGACGAGACATCAAGGATGACCCTGGGGTTTTCACTTAAGCATCTGGGCACATGTTATGTACTGAAGTATTGAAAGTTAGGAGAGGAGTAGATTTAGGGAGAAAAATCAAGAATTGGGTTTTAGACGTGTTAAGCTTGATGCCTATTAGAATGAATCATATAGTCAGTTTGGTATCTGGGAAGACAGTGCTGAAAGTTTCTGTACTGGAGGAGGAACCAGGAAGGAAACTAAAGAAGAATCTTCACGCAAAAGAGCAGAAAAACCAGGAGAGGATAGTATGATGCCTAAAAGGGAAAATCTTTCACCAAAAAAGGGATAGTCAGTATTTTCAGTGCTGCCAAGAGGGGGTGTGGATCAAGGGAGCTATATTTGAGGTTTTTTTTGTTTATTTAAGACACAAGAAACTAGAGTATGTTTTTGAGAGTGAGACATTAAAAGAGAGAAATAGATGCTAAAGCAGAGAGAAAATTACAGGAACAAGGTCAGGAGAGGATGGGACTGTCAGAGAGGAAAAATCCTTTTTCTCTACCCTCTTATGTTCAGTCCCTGGAAACCTGTGAATTAACTGACAAATTTCAGATGAACAAGGGAAAAAGTTTAGGGAACTTATAAAAGAAGTAGCTCCATGAATGGTTAGAATTAGAGGCTTATAAACCTGACTTAGTCGGGAAAAGTAAGGAAGGAGAAAAGGCCTCTCTGGGAAGAACAAATGGGTTTCTTTAGGAAATGCAAAGGGGTTTCTAGGAGAGTAAATGGGAGACAAGACAATTTGTGATACTGGTTATTCATGCAGGTGCAAGTGGTCTTTTCCCCTTCTTCTTGGCCATTAAACTCCTCTGGAGAGGGGGCTTATAGGTTCGTTCTTGGTTTCCTTTCTGGGAGTAAAAGCTGCCCTGAGGGTATTTATGGTAGCCTCATTTCGCAGAAGTTTCTGCTTTAGTGCAATAGGGGAAGCTCTGAAAAGGCTTTATGCCTGTGTTGACTCCCACGTGTCTTGAGCTTGAACCAATCTTCATACCAACTCTGGGATTCTGAGTGGCTCCCCACAGATTCTAAGCCCAAGTGGCCTTTGTTATGAAGACACCTTTTTCCGTGTCTACAGCAGGGAAGAGAGCCGTTGTAAATAGGTACAGACACAAATAGGTGTGTGATTTGGTGGCAGGAAGAGGAAAGAGTTTCTATTTGAAGTCAAGGGCTGAGAGAAGTAGGGTTGCAGGAGGTTTGAAGAGAGTATACGTGAATGGCCTTGTAGGAAATCAAACTTATTATCCTGGCAGAGTACCATGGTAAGTACCCAGGCAGTGCTAAGGGCAGCCTGCCTTCCCAGTTGTTAGATCTTCAGTAAAATCTTGCTCTAGTTCAAGTTCTGAGAGGGGAGAGAGTTGAATTCAGTTGGTTGAGGTTTGGAGAGAGGGCTGAGCTTGTTAAAGTACTTTGCAGGGGAGCTAAGATGGTAGAACATGGCACTTGACTAAGCTCCTTGGCAACATGCAGAGTTGGGTGACGCTGATAAGTTGATGGGGGCAGCAAAGGTGAAACAAACCTTAATGTGGTGACCAAAGCTTGAGAAACCCTTGGATGGCCATTTCTTCCCATCACTAATATGCTTTCCATAGCCCTGCTTCACCCAGACTTTAAAAGAAGTATGTTGGTTGAGGAGTCTGTCCTCTTACAGAATTTCACAGATGAGAAAATTGGTCTCAAGGGGAAATAAGTTGCTCATGTACTAACAGCTAATTTGGTCAGAACTGAAATTAGTAGCCAGGCCTAACTTTCTGTGTGCTCTCCACATCGCCATGGTTACCTAACTCACAAATGTTGACATTGTAGACTTTTTAAATGCCAACAATTGGACAGTTTTAGATGGCAGAACAATGCTTTTCTGTTAGTGAGTTTTGGGAAGATATATGGGAGAGAGCTTATTAACTCTTTGGTTAATGGATTTCTAGAAGACTGTAAGACTTCAGTCCTTAATTACTCAAAACGTTATTTGTTTTTTAAGCAACAGATATTTTAGAACTTGGAAAAAAGATACACTTTTCAAAACTCCAAAGGCATTGTCCATTTTGCACAGCACATTTTATAAGGCACGTGTTTCTGAGTCACTCACTAACGTTCTCTTACTGATTATTTCACAGATTCCAAACGGAAATGCGTCAGAACTTATTTTTAACACGGTGCATGTAAGAGATGCGGGCTTCTATGTCTGCCGAGTGAACAACAGCTGCACCTTTGAGTTCAGCCAGTGGTCACAGCTGGACGTGTGTGACGCCACAGAGCTAACCGAAAGCTTCCAAGGTAAGTAAGTTGAATGTTGAGAAGGGAATTACCTTTTTCAATTTATTTTAAATGTTTACTTCTAAATAATTTCATAGTATCAAAATATTACCAAAAGCTCACATATGCACTGCACCCAGGATGAGGTCAACAGTTGGTAAGATTTTATTCTCTGCTCTGAGGAGATATGTATATGTGTGTGTATATACACATATACATACACATAGATATATCTGTGCGCATACACACACACGCACGCACCTTTGGATGACACAGGACCCTTCTCGATCTGGCCCTGCTGCTGACCTCTCCAGCTTGCCTTCTTTCATGGATTTGAATGTTGTAGTCTCTGGTTTTGGAAGAGAGAAAAATCGAGTACAGTCTTGCTCAGTCTTCAGTTTCTTTTTACACTGTACATTTTTTCTCCCAAACTACTGAATTACTTCTAAGAAATTGTGTTGTGGAATAAAACTCCAGAGTTGATGTCAACATGAAAGAGCATATAGTATATCATTTGCTGCAATAAAGCATTTCATCAGACTGTTTTCCTACTCTTTGTCATTCACCTTTTTAGTCCAATAACTAGTATTGATCAAGAAAAAAACCAATCTACTCTAAAGAGTAGCCATGAGACACTATTTTATTTATTCACACACACAGTCAAGACCATATCCTTTGTCATTTTTGCCAGAAGAAAAGAATAGGACAGAAACAGGCTTTTGTTACTAGTCTCTCCCATTCTTCCTTTCAGTTTAGCTTTTCCGACCCTAAATAAATAAACCATCTCTAAAAATAGTCATGCCCGGCCAGGCGTAGCTCAGCAGTTAAGCATCAACCTAGGATCCAGGGGATGGCGGTTCGATTCCCAATCAGGGCACATCCCCAGGTTGCGGGCTTGATCCCCAGTTGGGGGCATGCAGGAGGCAGCCGACCAATGAGGACTCTCTCATCATTGATGTTTCTATCTCTCTCTCCCCCTCTCCCTTCTCTCTCTGAAATCAATAAAGATATATAAAATAAATAAAACCCTCTATCCTTGAGGAGCTTAACAAGTAATAATGAGTGTTCAATAAATAATGCTTTCTGATATTTGCCTTGGGAAGAAATGCTAGTGATAACCCATCCATATTTATTCAGTGCTAATAACAAAACAACTTACTTTAATAAGCCAAGTTAAATCAGTGCAGAATGTAGATCTTTCTGTGTTGAATGTGAATATCACTCAAGATGTTAATGAGTTGTTTGCCCCTACCAGAAAGATTCTCTGGCCAAACGCATTTGGAAACCATTTGAACTATTTTCCCGTTACATGCACAACGCATACTAACACTTTAAAAGCTCTGACAGGCCCTTCACTTAAGAAATCTGTTTAACTTTGTTTAACCCAGAATTTTCTAAACTTATTTGTCCACAGCATTTTTTTATCCACAGAACATTTCTTAATATTTCTAGAAATGCTATTGTTTCATGAAACAGTTTGGGAGATGCTATTAAAGGTTTTTAAAATGAAGGATGAACTTGAAAACACATTTATTTTTTTAATTACAGGGGAAGGGGTTTATTTTTAACTTAGAGATTTTATTTATGTTTTATGATATTTCTCTTTTAAGGAAGTTTGGATGGCATCTCTGAATCCAAGTTGCAAATCTGTGTTGAGCCAAGGTCCCAAAAGCTGATGCCAGGCAGCACGTTAGTCCTGCAGTGCGTTGCTGTTGGGAGCCCCATTCCTCATTACCAGTGGTTCAAAAATGAATCAGCCTTAGCACATGAGACAAAAAAGATATACATGGTAGGAAGTTGGTTTTCGGATTATTTTTTGGCTAATATATAAAATAAATAGTATAATCGAAAATTAAGGTGAACATTAAAATTCAATTTTTCGGGGATGTTTTAATGTTTTCAGTATTTTTGTTTCAAGTCCTTGTTATTTCATATTAATTGACTTGTATATTTGCAAAAGTGGGAGAAAACAACATTAGCCCATACCTAAGGGCTTATACTGAAATGTCAAGTATAGTATTGTACCAAACTCACTGTTATTGGATTCATTGTATCATTTGCTTAAATGGATACTTAACCTAATAAATGGAAATAATAATTTAAGACCGTCCAAAGCCTTCTGAAATTTTGTTTTGTAAGATTTTTTTAAAATACAAAATAACTTTTTCACCAAGCCAATTTAAATTAAAATTGAAGAGGAAATGTGTGTGTGTTTTGATATTGGTATAGGTGCCTTATGTGGATCTGGAACATCAAGGAACCTATTGGTGTCGTGTATATAATGATCGAGACAGTCAAGAGAGCAAGAAGGTAGAAATCATCATAGGTAAGCAGTATTACTCAGTGTTCTGACAAATGGAGTATAGTAGAAGCTATATAAAATAAAATATTTAAGCAATGGAAATTATACTACTTATTACCCCATTCTATTTAATGGTGTGTTAAGAATCAGGAGTTACATTGTCTATCTAGAAATTTGAGAGAATACATACTAAATTCATAATCTACGTTTATATGCTGCGAGCAGAAAGAACCAGAAAAATAGTTTGTTATTTAGATCTTTTTGGTTATTTTTAAATTTTATAGTCTACTTTAAACACTTCTGGCAAAAAATGTATTAAAATTTTTATTATAAAGAACTTGATTTCGTGGAAAAGTATTTTTAATAAAACATTTTTTTTGTTTGTTTAAAATATTACAGATGTCCCTTTTTCTCCCCAGTGACCCGTTTAATAAAACATTTTTAAAAAACAAACATCACGGAAGTATAAAGGAAAGATGATTAATCAACAGTCCCCATTATGAAGTGCATAGTTTGAGAGTTTGTTCTGTTTGAGCTTAGTGCATTTATAGTTTTGTTAATAGTAGGAGCTGTTGCTGCATATGTTGGTTTGCCAACATATTTCTGTAATATTTATCTCTCTATTTGCTTGATGGCTGCCCTTCCTAAGATCATGAATTACAATATATTCACATTTGTTTTCTCTGGAACAAGGAAGCACAAGTGAGGCAGTGGAATGCACTGAAGGTAGTGTAATCCTTTGGTCTGAAATCAGATATCCTGCATGCTGTTTCCTCTTGGGATTGATGGAGTGCAGTGATGGAAAAAATACTAGCTATAAGAAATCATTTCAATTGAAGGATATTGTATCTGAGTCTTTGAAGGTTTGTAAATTGCCACAGATACTGTTAAACTGACACTATTAAAACAATTAATTTTCAGGTGATTTTCTACTATATATAAGAATAAAGTTCCTGCATAACATTTTATGAATAGTGAACATTTGCAATTAATCTTATTGCTAATTTTTATCTTTATAAAAATTATAGAAAAAGATAGATGACTATACTGTCATGGAAACTTGTTCAGATTATTTTATCTATCCTTTAGCCATAATAACATGCCTCTCAAATGGGAATGTGGTTTCTATAAAAGTTTCAGGACAGATTTATTGTTTAACATATGTTTTATCAAATATTAAATATTCTGTTTCAGTATAAAATTGATACAATCCATTGTTGAAGCTACAAGGCCATAGATTAATCTACCATGATACCTTTACCATAATATATAAAGAGATTTGAAAAATCTTATTTCAATAAATTACTCCTAATTTGTTTTAATTAACCAAAGCATTATATATAAGTTGTAATGAGTATGTTATAAAACTTAACTTCCCTTAAGATGATGTCACATTGTTTTGCAAAATTAGGTTTGTGGATAGCAAAGTATTTTTTCAATTTCTGCCTCTTTATAACCTTAGGCTCTACTTGGGTAAAGTAAGAAAATAACGTCAAATCTTATGTTTGCTGGTTTCCTTGTTCTTTATGTCACTGTGATGGCACTTGGAAATACTATTATTACTATTTTAATCCCAATACGTAATTGTGAGTGGGAGTTCTCTAGCATCAGCAGATTTCCATCCTGTGATCTTTGGGCCCCACATGAGGGAAGCTACGTGAAGAAATGCTCATCAACTCCTCTTTCTTCTCTTACTCCTTTTTTGCCTAAATGCATGATTTTCAGAACTTCCTAACATTGGAGACCTCTAAGAATAAATAAATAAAACTAGCATTGCTGTTCTGTTTGGCTTCAGGGTGATGCCTGTAAATTATCTCCTTGCTGTGATGGTTCTTTATCTGCAAGATTCTCCCTTTAATTTTTGCAGAAACAGACACACTGTTAAATAATAATTTTCTAATAAATCTGTTCAGAGCACATAGAGATGAAAAGCCAACTATGAGATGACTCTAGAAATTTCAGATGGAAAAATTAGATCCAAAAAACCTACAAAATTGAAACCTTTCATAATCGGTGGGTTGACACATATTATGAAGTGTCCTAATAGCTTGTCTTTTTACCCATGGAACATGGTATTACCTATTTCATTTTAGGTATTTTTTAAAGGTATTTGATCAGGACAAGGGGTGGGGATTGAACAATTAAAGCTCAGGGGATTTGTTAAGGCATTGAAACTACTCTGCATGACCACTGAAATGGTGAACACATGGATGCAAGTTTTTAAAACAATCATGTAGTAGGAGGTCAGAGGAGGGTAGACTCAGGATGGAATGCAAAATATGACAAAAGAATCTAAATTTACTACAGATGTATAAAGCAGCCTCGCTGCAGAGAGGGAGGAAGAACAAGGTGCTGACCCAAGTAATGAGAAAGAAGGGCGCCTGTAAGGTAAAAGGCAAAAGAAATTGTACAGGCCCTGTACCTAAGCCGATACTACTCTTCAGTTGATTTTATATCACATATAAGAGTAAGTTCTACCTAACATCTTATGAATAGTATAATATTTATAACTTATTAATATTTTTATCTTCATAAAATTTGTAAAGAAAAATAGTTTATAATATCATGGTATTGGCTTAGGTTATGTTCCTTTGGCCAGGGAGTGCGGGTTAACAATTCTGAAACCTGTGTGCCTCCAAAAACACATTACACCGTTCTAACCACGAGAAGAACATCAACAGATCCCACCTGAGAGACATGCTACACAAAACCTCACCAGTAATTCTCAAAACTGGCAAGGTCATCAAAAGCAAGGGAAGTCTGAGAAATTGTCACAACAAAGAGGAGCCTAAGGTGACATAAACAAATTTAACATGGTGTCCTGAAAGGGGTTTTGGAACAAAAAAGAACATTAGTGGTTGTAACAAATATACCTTCCTAACATAAGATGTTAAAAATAGGGAAACTGGGTATGGGTGTTTACGTAAACTCTGCACTGTCTTCACATTAGTTCTATAAATCTTAAGCTGTTTTAAAATTAAAACTTTATTTAAAAAGAAAGATCATTTGAGATTTTTAGTTTCAAGAAGTTTATGGTTGAGACCACAGACAGACCTGTCTCTTGACTGTTTTTGTTCCATAATTAGCCAGAATACCTAAAACTTAGAACAAATTATGAATGAGTCTGTTTAGCTTTTTGTCACTTAATGAAAGTAATAATAGCTTAGAAGTCCTAAACGATATCCACAGCAGTATTCTTTCCTAGTCAGCTTTGCATGGCTTCTCATTTAATCTATTTGAAAAGTTTTAAACTAATGAAACATTTTAACATGATTTAATAGCTCAAAACCTTCTCTGATTAGTCTTACTATTTATGCTAACTTGGCAGTTATTTAAAGCTAATCAATTTTTAAAATTTCATTTCAGATGAATTACATCATCTTGGGCATCCTGGTGAGTAATATAAACATAAAACATTAGTTTTAGATTTTTAAGTTATTGAATACAATGTAGATATTTTTCAGCTATAATAGTAGTGGTAATTTTTTTCTTTATTAAAATAATATGATTTCGGATTGAAGTTAGTACTTACATGAAGTACAATTTCATGCAAGTGAAAATACTTAAAATATTCTAGATTGTAAGACTATGTAAAGGTAGAAAAGTATGCCGAGGCAACATAAAATATGAATGTATTTTTTTATCATTGTGAATGACTCTATATCATAAAAAGACAAGTTAAGGAGGGAAGTGCATGATTTTTAATTTGAAAGACAAGAGTACCAGAGTAACAATTCTGAACTCACCGGACCCTTGGGACCTTGTTCAAAGTCACTCATTCATAGAATATATCTGAACTAGTTGGGTGAGGTATCTTTATCTGAAGTAAAAAGTGTGTTAGTGGGAATACGTTGCATTATATAGATAAATAGTTCATCAGTAGTAACCATTAAGAAACTAACTGTTGACAGAAGTATTCATCATTCTTCAGCCAATTTTAATCAGAATAGATTTCTAAACAAGTTCAGCTAAAGGGAAAGCCTTAACTGAGATGATAGAGTAACAGTGAGGACTCCATAAAGACAGAGGACATCTCTAGGTTATGGGCATTCTGAAAGGTGGTGATGGATCACAACTAGATTAAGGAAGACAGCTATATTGTTTAATATTTACAGAGATTTCTCTTATTTCCTGACATGTTACATCTCATTATTTTAGCACAGTAGCTAAGTTTGCTTAGTTTCATGCCCATATTTTTTAAATTATCTTTTATTTTTCAATTACAATTGGCATCCAATATTATATTAGTTTCAGGTGTACCCCCCAGATTACTAAGTGATCATCCTGATAAATCTTGTACCCATCTGACACCGCACATAGTTATTAGAATATTATTAATTTTATTCTCTATGCTGTACTTTATTTTTTATTAGGTAAACACATTAACATTCTATTTTTTTATACATACTTTAATACATATTAAAATATTTTTTTAAAACTACTGTAATCTGATGGTGGTAGACAGTGATTGCTTACTTGAAAATATTAATTTCATGCATATCAAAGTGTGCCATCTTCAACTATATAATTAATTAGATTACAGAATACTTGCTGGAGTGTGTTGAAACTGAAAAACATAATGCTGTATTTTATATCCCCATGACTATTTTGTAACAACCAATTTGTACTTCTTAATCCCTTTACCTTTGCACCGCTCCCCCCAAACTCCCTTCCATCTGGCAATGAGCACAATGTTCTCTCATATCTATGAGTCTGTTTCTATTCTGCTTGTTTGTTAATTTTGTTTTTTTAGATTCAATTATTGATAGATACATATTTATTGTCATTTTATTGTGCATATTTTTCCTTTTTTTCTTTTTTTTAAATATGTTTTTATTGATTTTAGAGAGAGAAGAAGGGAGAGGGATAGAAAGAGAGAAACATCTAACAACTGCCTCCTGCATGCCCCCTACTGGGGATTGAGCTCGAAACCCGGGCATGTGCCCTGACCAGGAATCAAACCAGTGACCTCTTAGTTCATAGGCCAGTGCTCAACCACTGAGCCACATCAACCAGGCATTTTTTTTTCTTCTTAAAGAAGACCCTTTAACATTTTATGTAATAATTGTTCGGTGGTGGTGAACTCCTTTAGCTTTTTCTTGACTGGGAAGCTCTTTTTATGTCCTTTGATTCTAAATGATAGCTTTGCTAGGTAGAGTAATCTCCGTTGTAGTTCCTTGGTTTTCATCACTTCAAATATTTCTTGCCACTCCCTTCTGGCCTGCAAAGTTTTTGTTGAGAAATCAGCTGACAGTCTTATGGGAGCTCCCTTGTAGCTAATTAACTGCTTTTCTCTTGCTGCTTTTAAGATCCTTTCTTTGTCTTAATTTCAGTGGCTCCTTACACTGTCTTCATTTTTTTTATTTTATTCTTTTTTCCTTTTTGCTCTTCTGATTGGATGTTTTTTGCTTCCTTATATTCCAAATCGCTGATTTGATCCTCAATTTCATCTCCTCTACTGTTGATTCCCTATGTTATTCTTCATTTCAGTTAGTATATCCTTCATTTCTGACTGGTTCTTTTTTATGGTTTTTATGTCTTTTTCCATGTTGTTGAAGTTCTCACTAAGTTTCTTGAGCATCCTTGTAACCATTGTTTTGAACTCTGTATCTGGTTGTTTGCTTGCCTCCATTTCATTTAGTTCTTTCTGGGCTAGTTCTCCTGTTCCTTCATTTGGGACCTGTTTCTTTGTTTCATGCCCATATTTTTTAAATAAATATTTATTACTGTGAGTCATGATTGGGCCATGCTGATTATATGTAAGCAAATTATACAAACCGGTAGGTCACTGGTTTGGGGTACACTGAATTTATAATCTTTTTAAGCCTCCAGTTCTATAATTTCTTTTACAGATATCTAAAATAACCATTTGTTGTCAATGTTATATAGATATTTATTTAGACATGTATAAAAGCTGTGTGTCATTCTTGCCATACCAACCTGGAGCTCAGGGGTAACCTCAGTGAGATGTTCAAGCATCCAAACCGTTCTAGTGTTGGAGAACCATCCTAGTTGTTTCTCTTGGCCTGGTTAGAACTCTTTTTTCCTAAATTGGTCTGTTATTTCTTGCCCTTTAGTGAACATTGTGAAAAATTATTTCAGGAAAACTTTTGAAAACAACCACCACTAAACTTCTAAAATTTTCTTGGCTGCCTCTTTCATTATATCCTTACTCTTTAAGATTCAGGGACACTAAAAAATTTGAGTTTAAAAAACAGGAAATGCAGTAAACTTTTAGTAGACTTCAGTAGCATATAAATGATTACAAATGCAAAAAAAAAGTTACCCTGTCTATAGTAGTAGACACATTACTGACCGAACTCCATTTTTCCCTGTATCTCTTGCCACATGGCCCTCAGGGGTGAGAGATATTTTATTTTATGTAGAGTAGATGGCAGGGAGCATGGACTATGGAATGAGATTTACTAGCTTGATAACTTTGAGCAAGTTACTTAATCTCTCTCTGCCTCAGATTCCTTATCTGTATAGTGGAGGTAATAATGGTATGTACCTCTTAGAGTAAGCGGTGTTTACCCCAGTCAGTTATAATGAAAGCACCTATCACAGCACCAGACAAGCATTCAGTAAATGTGAACTCTTCTGCTGCTGCTGCTTATTCCCACCACCACTGTTTTCAGATTGTAATTTCTCCCTAGCATATTAAAGATTATTACCCTACCCCCAGCTATGGCAATCCATTACCAAAGGCATTCCCTTGCTCTGATTCCAACTCTGTCCATCCAAGTATATGTTTTTATCAAGAATCTGGAAATCTTAAAATCCTAAATTAGCTATTAGAAACCATATTCTGTCTTTTAATGCCACTGATGGTATTCATTATTTTTATATACTTCTAACTCTGAAATACTTGTACCATGGACAATAACACCTTATTTCTTTGCATTTTTATTTTCTTATAGATAATAAAGAGCAAACAGCTGACCAGCCCTTGGGTGAGTAGAGCTTTAAAATGCCTAATCAAAATATAATTATAGCATATATCTCTTTTATGGCAAGCATAAAGGGATTTAAGACATTTTAATTTGACAGCTTTTATAAATACTTGAATGACATTGAGACCAAATGGTTTATTTTGGATATTTGTAAAATAAATTATAGAACAGGAGGCTTACAAATATTAAACATTCAGTTTCTGGGACCAAGTCAGCTTCTGTGTAATGACTTCTTTGTTTTGGCAAGATGCAAACAAACATGTATGTTACATGGAGGTGAGTAATACTCTCTCTTGGTGGTATTAGAGTAGAAAAGCAGCAGAGAGGTTGCAATAGCAGCTCTACATTTTGAAGTATGAGTAGGAGAAGGGCCTTCCAGACAGAGGGAGCATGGAATCCTAAGTGCTACGTGGTAGAGAAATGAGACTGTGTTGAATTTGGGGAACTGCAAGTAACACACCTTGGTCTGGAGCATAAAGAGGAGGAGGCGAGAGAGGAAGGTTGAGACCAGATCTACAGGAGCCCCATTTATCATTTAAGCCATTAGAAGGAAACTTTTTGGGTGGAGAAGGTGAATGAGATGTGTCTCTTTTAAAGGCCAGTTCTATATTGGTGTGGAAACTAAAAAAGATAAGATGTTTTGGTTAGAGAAAAAATTAAGAGACCTTTACAGTAGCCTGGAGAAGGGTTACCGTAGGGTTATCATAGGTTACCAATGAGAGTGCAGAAGGCAAGAACAAGTTTGGAAGATCTTTAGGTGATGGAATCAGAAAGCTTTTTTGTCATCTTGCTATAGGGTATAAAAAATAGAGAGGAATCACCATACCTGCTAGGAATCTTGCTTGGACCACCAGGTGGGTGGTGATACCCCCTACTGATTTGGAGAATACAGAATCAAAAGTAAGCTTCAGAGCACGGTTGACTGTTAGTGTGGGACTTAACCAGTTTGAGGTATTTGTGTCACATCTAGGTGACGATATACAGCAGGCAATTGTATACATGAATCTGAAACTCTTAAGGCGAGGCCAGGATTAGAGATGCAGTTGAGTGTCATTAGTATAGATATGGAAGTTAAAACTAAAGGACAGCAAACCTGAGATTGCTACAGACCATAGAGAAAAGGGCACAAAACTGGCTAACCTTTGGGAGGGGGGCCGTACAGTGTTTTTTAACAATTGTAATCAGTTGTCACTGATCACATATCATAAAAATTTTGATTTCTGGGTTCTTATGAAAAGTGGCAGCTGTCAGTTGTGGCTAAACAGTGGCTGCCCTTTTAAAGAGGCATGTGCTCCCCTGTTCTCCTGTTGTAACCTTTCAATCTACTTCACTCTCTCCCCGTCTCTTCCCTCCCCTCCTTCCCATGTGGTCTCACCATGTAGCTGAATTTCTTTACATGGATCCCCAAACTGGAAACTTCCAGACTTCATCAGGTTTAGACTCAGAGCTGACAGAGTTTCACACCACATTATGTTGTTCAAAGAGAATCACAGGGCAGCCCAGATTCAGGGGCTGGGGTGGGTGACTGCCCTATGTGAGAGCAAGGATACCATGGTTCACTGGGGCCATCTTTTACTGAAGCTGGAATGGTAGGCCTGGACTAGAATATGAGTGGCTTTGTTTGCCAGACTAAGGATTTTGGACTTTGTTTTGTAGGACACAGGGATTAAAAGATTTTATATGCCAACAAGAACTGTATATTTTACCAGTCAGATTTGATGCTAATACTCAAATTTTTGATAGATAGTCCAAGATTTTCGTTAACAAATACTTACATAGCACTAAATATGTGCCAGACCTTTTTTCAGGTGCTTATGAATATTAATACATTTTAGATAAGATGAATAACACACCATTAGATTATTAGACATGGAATTAATGATATAACACTGTACCAATTTTTAAAGAATACATTGCATTGAGCTTTGGAAAATGTCCAGGATCATATAGTTAAATGTTTTTCTAAAGTGGTTTTATTCTGTTGCTTAATCAACTTGCATTTGTGTTTCCTTTTTCCAGTAACTAGTTTGTGTTCAAGAAATTGTGGGTGGCTCTTACAGTAAATGTTTTACTATAGAAAGTTTCTTCCATTTATATTATCACCTGAAATCCATAATAAATTGCTTATATAGTTGCTATTTTGAAGGTTTCTTTCATTCCTCACTCTGCCTTCTCAACTTGAGATTATACTGTTTCATCCTCTATCATATCTCTAAACTCTGGCTTTTCCTTTCTTTCCTACAACTGATTTCCTGGAATGAGTCTGTCATCTCTCCTTTCGACCACTGCTGTCTGCTTCTCCATTCTAAATCTTGCCCAGTTCGTCTATCATTCAGGAACTGTTTTACCAGTAGATTGGACGAGGTAAGATTTATTTACTCGTCATTTTTATTACAATTTATTTCAAGAAAACACTCTAAGAGATTTTAGAAACTAACTATAAAAAAATTTATCATTAGGGAAAATATTTTGACACATTATGATGAATTATTAATACATACATTTTAACACACATAGTTCACAGATTGTTCAACTCTTGCATTCTGTAAACTATACCAACTCTTCTTCCCAATCAGGTAACAAAACCAATGAATCGAGACTTGATATTAGCAGAAACAGCCTGTTGTGTGTAGTTTGACAACTTTTTTCCCCCAAAGACCCCAGTGTTTTTTTTCTATTACATATCTTCTAATTGTTTTCTGCCAATAAAACTTAGTTTAGGACACATTTTAGAATTAAATTATCATAATATTCCACCAAAAAACCCACTTTGATTTACAAACACTTTACTCCCTGAATAACTTTGGGGACCCCATGATTTGGGCTATAATGGTGTAAACCAGAGACAATACATCTCTTCTCACTTAGAAGTAGATTGAACCAAGTTCTTCACTGCGTTGAGGTTAGGTCTGAATTCTGACAGGGTTGGTGGGCTTGTTGCAGGAGAAAATTAATGCAACAAGCATTAATTTTCCCAGACACTAGTGGGAATGAGGTTCTTGGGGTACCTCTGTAATAAGCATTTTCAGAAGCTTCCACAGGAGAATGAGATGTGGGAAAAGGCTTTATTTGCATGGAGTTACATTCCTTGGGTTCCAAAGTCCCATCCCCGTTAAACCAATCCTGAAAGCGGTACAGATGGGGTTCTAGCAGAGCCAAAAGCAAGGCCAGTGTCCAGAGCTTCTGCTCCATATTGCAGCTGGGTGTAGTTGGCATCCAAGCTAATTAAAGTCCATTAGTCCATTGTGTGGAGTCCCACGTGGGCATGGGAGCACAGCCCCCGGCAACAAGAGTCACAGGAGCGCAGGCAAGCAGACGAGAGAGAGAGCTGTGCTCTTTTGTCGAGAAGTTTAGATACTCAGGTTTCGCCTGCTTGCAGTGGCCACCCCCATCCTGGCCACTAATTTGTTCCCAGGTGTGACTGGCAGACAGGTGGGCACCTTCGCGCATCACTCAGACCTTCCTGGGCATGCATCTAAACTGTCTTTGTCTGGTCCCTTCCCCCATCAAACAGTGGGCAACGGACTTGGAGAATGTTAAATGCAGCTGTTTGGCGAAGCTGTACAAACAGCATGCCTATGTTATCTAGACTTCCCTTTTACTCCTTTCCTGTTAAATAATAACCAGGTTATTACAGTGGTATCAGGCTCACACAAAAATGCACGGAAAATTTTTTTCCTGTGGATAAGCCAGCTAACAGTCTTACTATATAGTGAGTATTTTGGTCTAGGTTTTTTAAGAAGAAACTTTTTTAAAAAGGAAATACGATGATGTTAAGTCTTATGCTGCCTCCTATTGAAATCTGTCCTGAGTGTTCTGAACTTTTTCATTGAGTTTTAGAACTAAAGGTAGTTTAATAGACGCTTCATGTCTGAATCCTTATATATTAAATAGTCTTGATAATTGGCCCTTTCTTTTGGATAAAAGAAGAGATTATCATTTGTATAGGACTTGAAGTGACTTATCAAATTAGAAATGTGGCTTAAGGTATCACTTTATATTTTTCTAAAATGTGCATACTCATAAGAATGAGCAATTTGCAAGAAATTGTAAGAAATCTCTGAAAATATAGACTAAAGATACCATAACACGAAAGTAGTAAACCAGAGATTTTTGGTGAAATTTAATCAACTTAATGATTTGAAACATCTGAAATTCTATTAAATATTGCAGACATCGAGTCAGCAATGTAATTATTTGTGTTTATTACAATTTCGTAAGAGTGATATAACAATTTCTAAATAAACTACTTAGCACTCTGTGACCGAGGGTGGTCACCTGTTCCTGGCCTGTGTCAGAAGGAGGTGGCCTGTGGTCCTGCCCAGTGTGGCTCTTCGGCCAGCTGGCTGGCTGCCTGACGCTCTTTTGACACCATCTCCACAGCTCCCCACGTCTCCTTCACAGATTCACACCGTAACGTCCTCAAGAAAAACGTCATAACATGTACCTGCAGTCATGGCATGGTCTCAGGTCTTTAACTTTTAACCCTACCCAGACTAGCAAAGGTACAATTTTGAATACCTCTTAAGCACTAAGCTATGTCTAGCCTTCCACAGCTGTTTTTGGACAAGCTATACACGTGAGTAAGCTAGCTGGTAATTTTTAAAGCATCGGTGTGGGTCTTTTTGTCCCTTAAAAACAGGAAAATTCTTTGTATGAGGATACAACTTTGAACAAAGTCTCAGTGCACTAAAGTCAGAAAATAAACTAAAGATATTTGTACACGTCTTCACATATCCCTAGAGTAGCTGCATCTCACCCAAATGGGGAAAAAAAAATTTTTTTTAAGCCAAGAGAAGCCCAGCCAGCGTGGCTCAGTGGTCGAGCATCAACCTCTGATCCAGGAGATCGAGGTTCAATTCCCAGTAGGGGGCTTGCGGCAAGCAGCCGATCAATGGCTCTCTCTTTCCCCTCTCCCTTCCTCTCTAATATATTTTAAAATATATATTTTTTAAAAAGCCAAGAGTAGACAGTATATCAACTGCAGAAATACAGATACAGTACTTAAGTGGCTGCTTTGCCGTCCTCTGCAGTGCTTCCCTGCACCTGTTCTGACGAGAGCTCTTCCTGTTCCTCTTTTCAGTGTATCTTTTGCTTTTAGCCTCTCCATTGTAAGCAAAGCAGAACCTGATTTGATGGGGATCCAATTTCAAACATACCTTGTGTAAATTCGCTCTAAAAGTCTAGTTGAATATAATAATAATCTTTACTTTTGTTGTAATTAAGGTATACTTTAACATTAGTTATCATTTATGCTTCATATACAACGAATAAATACCCTTTGCCTGGTTCTCAAAAGTATCAGTAAGTTTAATTTCAGTTGTTTGATTTATTAATCTTTGTGGTCCTCAGTATATTGGCCTATTGCATAAAGTGATCCTTCTAAGATGAAATTAAATAATAATGAAATCTTATTTGTAAAGCATACTTTTTATTATAATGATCCTATCTCCATAGGTCTTATTTTAATCTTTATATCCTTTAAATCTCTTCCTCCCCCTTTTTTTTAACAGCAAAGGACAAGGTTGCCCTTTTGATAGGAAATATGAATTACTGGGAGCACCCCAAGCTTAAAGCACCTTTGGTTGATGTGTATGAGTTGACCAACTTGTTAAGACAGCTAGATTTCAAAGTCGTTTCACTGTTGGATCTGACTGAATATGAGATGCGTAACGCTGTGGATGAATTTTTACTACTTTTAGACAAAGGAGTATATGGTAAGATATTTATAATCTTCATTTTAATAATTATCTACTATTTTTTCATTGAACAAGTTAGATTAAGAACTAAAAATCAGAGAAGGGTGCTGTAAATACACTGTTGAATTGAAGTTTTATTGTACAGGGTAATAGATTTGGTTTTTATGCTATAGTTCCAGATGAATAGCTAATTAGCTTAATGTCTTTACTTTCATGTTTTTTGTTTTGTCAAAACAATATTGTTCTTATTAGAATTCTTACCAATCTTAGGTGATTTTACTTTTTTTTTTTTAAATATATCTTTATTGATTTCAGAGAGAGGAAGGGAGAGAGAGAGAGATAGAAAAATCAATGATGAGAGAGTCATTGATCGGTTACCTCCTGCACACCCTCCACTGGGGATCGAGCCCACAACCTGGGCATATGCCCCGATCAGAAATCGAACCTCGATCTCCTGGATCATAGGTCTATGCTCAACCACTGAGCCATGCCGGCCAGGCAGTGATTTTGCTTTTTATTGAGATAGGAGCTATAGTACATGATGATCAAATGGCAGGCTGTATACTCGTGTATGTTAGAGCCAGACATTTTAAATGATACACTGGGAGCGATACCCCAGCTTTCTGCGTGGCCTGTCTCTAAGTAAGATCAGTTAGAAATGGTACCATTTCCACTGAAAATCATATCCTTTATAAAAAGGTCTCCAGATCTACCTCTGACCTGATCGGTTTGCACTGTTAATTTAATGCACTCAAGTTTTTACTGAGTTCCTATTATATCCACAGCCCAGATAAGGAGTATGCTAGGCATGGAAGTACATCCAAAAATAAAAACATGACCTAATCAAATTATCAGTCCCTTATCGTAATGAGGAAAAAAACACTGTACATGGAGCCCAGACACCTATCAGCTGTAGTATTTTAAGCAAATCACTTAATCTTTTAAGTTTAATTTTCTCATCAATAAAATAGGGATAGGAATCATTTAAAGATTGTTATATGGATTAAAATCAGATCATGTATATGAAGGTGCTTTGAAAACCATGAAAATGTAATGCTGTAAGATTAATGTCTTTATTGTGATCACTTTTTATCAGAGAAATTAAATATACATAGAACTGTAAAATGTCTTTAAAACCCAGTATGTGATTAGTGTCAGAGTCCTGCTGGAGGGTCTAAAGTAGGGAGAGATTGAGTGTGTGAGAAAAGCGGAAACCAGGTGATGACTTGCTGAGGGCTCTGAATTTGACATACTCTGAGGATTGGTTAAGATTTGGGTAGATAGAAAGGAGATAGAGAGGGGCATGAAGGTTAAAAATAAATATATCTTTCTTTAGAAGCAGTAAAGAGACTGATGGGGAATAGAGTCGTTTTGGAATACTTGATAGAGGACTATACATTTTACTCTTTAAAGTGTACAATTCAGTGGTTTTTAGTATATTCACAAAGTTGTGCATCAATCATCTAATTCCAGAACATTTTTATCACCCAAAAGGACCCCATATTCATTAGCAGTCACTCCCCATTCCTTCTTACCCCAAGCCCCTGGCAACAACAAATCTACTTTCAGTCTCTAAGGATTTGCGTATTTGAGGCATTTCATAGAAATGGAATTATTCTATATGTGGCCTTTTGTGTCTGGCTTCTTTCTTTTAGCATAATGTTTTCAGGATCCTTCCATGTTTTTGTATTATTTTTATGGCTGGATAATCTTCCATTATAAGGATATACCACATTTTGTTTATCCATTCATCAGAAGATGGCCTTTAGGTTGTTTCCCTTTTGGGATATTATGAATAGTGCTACTGTGGACATTGATGTGCACATTCTTGTGGGCATGTGTTTCAGTTCTCTTGGGTATACACCATGGAATGGGATTGCTGGGTCATAGGATAACTCTAATTTTAACATTTTGAGGAACTGTCTGACTCTTTCCAACGTGCCTACACTATTGTATATTCTCACCGGAAATTAACGAGGTTTCTAGCTTCTCTACTTCCTTGCCAACACTTGTTATTGCCTGTCTTTTTCATTATAGCCATCCTAGTAAGTGCAAAGTGGTACCTCTGTTCTGTTTTGCATTTCCGTGATAGCTAATGATGTTGGGCATCTCTTCATGTGCTTATTTGCCATTTGTATATTCTCTTTGGAGAAATGTTTATTCAAATCCCTTGCCCATTTTTTTCTAGGGTATTTGTCCTTTTAATTGTTGAAAATTAGAGTCCATTATATATTCTGGATACAAGCTGTCCTCATAGATATGTGATTTGCAAATACTTTCTCCCTCTCTGTAGGTTTTTACTTATTTGATCTTATTTGATCTTCATTGCTTAATGAGTTAAATCCATTTCCTTTGTCATGATTTTCAAAATGCTCCCTATCTGTGTGCTCTTCCTTTCATTTATGATGATTTAATTCCTTGCCAGGCTAGTATTCTTCCAGTTAGTTGTCATTCCAGGTCTGAGCCCTGTATGCTTCTGTTCTCCCTGCCTATTATGTACCTTGCTCTCCCTCTGCCTTTCCAAATTGTATCCTTTCTCCCAAGACCATGTGTTTGCTTCCCCTCACACTAGATTCCTCTCTGTGCTTCACTCATATCATACATTGCGCCCTGATTGCATACTTTATGGCATTAATTATACGCTAATTTTCTCTGTTGATTAACAACAAGAGCATACCTGACTGAGCTGCAAGAACCTTGGGGACAAGAACTCTGTCTTTCTTTTCTTTTTCATTTCCTGCAGTGCCTATGTGATTATATTCAGGGCACACAGAAGATATAAATTATACCCACACTGAATAAATGGGTGTGTCCATTTTTGTCATTTTTTTACCTGAAATGTTATATATGAAAGAAGCATTTTTTTCATTTTAATAAGAGTTTAAGAAAAGTAGAAGACCTGGATCCTGCACTCTGGGACCAAATAAAGCGTGTGTGTGTATGTAAAGCCACATTCTCTGCTAGGAGTTGGGCCTGTAACTACAAAGGATTGGCGATTTTGTTGTTCTCGTTTCCTATCTAAAGCCTTTTTACTATTAACTTTAGAATATCGTATAAAGAAATCTCATTCCAGAATCCTAAGAACAAAATTAGTGTGCTCTAGAGATTGCTGAGGGGACATGTCTTCACAAGTATTTCTCTCAAATATTTTTATAAGGAAGTCCATCGTGATATTTTTGTTTTGTTTTTGTTTTTACAGCTAAAAAAAGCTTCTTTTCAGGGAAATCTTTAGAGTTGTTTGGTGCAGTTTTCATAGCATCATTTCTCAGTAAAGAAATAATGGCTCATCAATAGATTATTGAAATCAACCCAAATTTTAGCTTATTAATTCAAGAGAACTCTAAGTGAAAAATTAATGATATTTATATCTCATAACAAAACAAAAAAAGAAAAAGAAATCACAATCCGTGAAATCAGATTTCCCTTCTCTGCTTGGAAAAAGCTATGTTTATATTGTCTGGCTGGTGTGGTTCAGTGGTTGAGCATCAACCCATGAACCTGGAGGTCACAGTTCTATTCCCAGTTGTGGGCTCGATCCACAGTAGGGGGTGTGCAGGAGGCAGCCAGTCCATTCTCTCATCATTGATGTTTCTATCTCTCTCCCTCTCCCTTCCTCTCTCTGAAATCAGTAAAAACATTAAAAAAAGAAAGTTATGTTTATATTATTGTAACCCTTACTAAATGTATTGAAAAATGCCTATGGAATTTCACATTTGATATTATAGTTGTTTTTAATCTAAATTGTGTTTATTCGTTCATCTGTTAAATACTTACTGAGCTCCTCCTGTGTGCCAGGAATACACAGATAAATGTGGACTACCCCGGCGCTGAAGGAGGTCCTGGTTTATTGGAGAAGACAAATGAGTTAGCAAAGCAGTCCTTAGCCTTTTTCTTTTTATAATGAGATAAATTGCATTCCATATTACACCATTGGTTATACAAATGTATTGCACTTATGAATGAAAATCCACTTCAAGACAGCATTTTGATGTTGGTTTAAAATCCAGTACTGAACTCCTATTGCTTGTCCCCAGCTCACACCACTCATCCACACGACCTTGCAACTCTCCCCATATGAAGCACATTCCCACTTGAAGATCCCTCCACCTGATCCCTGGAATGTCCTCCCCTGATATGCCTAGCTTGTCCATCATATCCTGGAGGCCACTGACAGAGGCTTTCAGTGACTACCCAAAACAAACAGATAATTCCTGTCCTCAACCCACACTCCTTTTTCACCTGCTCTGCTTTGTAGTTCTCCATAGAACAGATTTCTTCTCCACCTGACATATTTATTTGTTTATCTCCTCCCACCTAGATTGTCACTTCATGAAAGCAGGGATTTTTGTCTGTGTTGGTAATCCCGAAGCCCAGGACACTGGCTGGCACAGAGTATGCCCTTTAAATACTGATCTACTAAATGGATGAGAGAATTGAATAAACCAGTTGCCTGGATGAAAAAAAAATACAGTACTAAAACGAAGGCTGTTGCCTAAATAATTTTCAGTGCACATTTAGTTAACATTGGCTGTATTTATAACTGGAACTCTCTTAGATAAGTTTGCATTAACTTGAAGAAAATAAAAGTCTCATGTTTTTAAAGAAGGCTGCATACATGTTCAGAGTACAATTTAGAATTAACTTTTGCCCCTTTTTTCCCTTTTCAGGTTTATTATATTATGCAGGACATGGTTATGAAAACTTTGGGAATAGCTTTATGGTTCCTGTTGATGCTCCAAATCCATATAGGTCAGAAAACTGTCTGTGTGTGCAAAATATACTGAAGTTGATGCAAGAAAAAGAAACCGGACTCAATGTATTCTTGTTGGATATGTGTAGGAAAAGGTAAGCTGTCTCATCTTTTTTTTTAATGCGTTTTTATTGATTTTTGAGAGAGAGAGAGAAAGAAAAAGGGAGAGAGAGAGAGAGAGAGAAATATTGATGAGAGAGAAACTGATTGGCTGCCTCCTGCATGCCCCCTACTAGTGATGGAGCCCTGATGAGGAATTGAACAGGTGACCTCTTGGTGCATGGGATGATGCTCAGCCAACGGAGCCATACCGGTCCGGGCAAGCTGTCTCATGTTTATTCAGCAAAGCTTGTTGGAGTTAAATATCAACCTTGACAAATTACATCTAAGGCAAATCTGCAAATGCTAAGAACCCCTTAAGTTTGTATAGTTTAAGAGTATAGATTGTCGCTGTTTAAGAAGAAAACTAGAGGAAACTATATATTCTCTATGTATACTTAATTATATTTTAACTTTTATGTTTGCTATAGAACAAAAGTAAAGAACTGAAGGGTCTGGCTCACACTACAAAAGGTGCAGCTCCTCAGATGCCTCTAACAACCACTGAGGTTACTCTGGAAATTGACAGAAACAGCACCAGTTAGTGCTGGGCCTCTGCTCTAAGTCATTCCTGGTCTTGCAGGTGCAGAAAGTTTAGCTGAACCAGATCTCATTTGTCCACCCCATGTTACTAAGGAATGGAACTAATGGTTATTCCTCTTAGACTCACAAGTTTTTGCTTTCTAAGCATCACCAACCAAAATCCAATGCGGAGTTCAAGTGTAACTCCAGCTTAGACACTGAGAAAAGATGTTTCAACAGTGTGGGCACCCTGAATTATTTTTAGTAAATATGTAGGTGATTTGATAAGGGAATTTTGACTGTATAATTTTAAATTATGTATAGGAGAATAGTGTTATATTTTTATTACACTATTACCTGTGCTGCTCTTTTTAACAATGCTATTTAACTTTATATCCGGCCTTCTCCCCTCCTGCCTTTTAAATAGAAATGACTACGATGATACCATTCCAATCTTGGATGCCCTGAAAGTCACTGCCAACATTGTGTTTGGATATGCAACGTAAGAAACTTCTATGTTTATGTTCAAGATTCTTTTATTCGTCGTTAATTTTTTGGTTGTAGACTAGAAGCCTAGAACTATCCATAGACATGTAGGCATTAATTTGCCTCCTTGATAGTCCTGATAGCAAATGTTAAATACCTGACTTTAGCATTTCATATCTTGGCACCTTCTTTTTACTAAGCACCAAAGCATTTAGTTCCTGCGTAAAGATTAGCTCTTTAATTAGGATGCATGCAGGAGGTGGGGAAGCAAACGAGGCTCATCAGTATTTATGGAAGCCCCACGTGGGAAGTGTTTGCTTTGGAAAAAAGTTTTCTTTTTGCTGTTTTTAAGGTGTCAAGGAGCTGAAGCCTTTGAAATCCAGCATTCTGGACTGGCAAATGGAATCTTCATGAAATTCTTAAAAGATAGATTATTGGAAGACAAGAAGATTACTGTATTACTGGATGAAGTTGCAGAAGGTAAAATAAAAAATAAAGAGCTACTCAGGGTTCTCCGTGTGGTAATTATTTTAGTCCTACTATTGTTGTGCAGGTTTGGAACTAATTTTCAATGTCTTGTTCAGCAACACTCCTGTTTAATTCCTTCCTTCTCTCTTGACTTAGTTACATGTCACCTGTGCAGCATTACTTGAACTACAAGGCTGACCCCAGACATGAGGAGAAATAAAGTTTGATCCTCAGAGCTCTTTACCTTATTTCTATGACTAGTGTCTTGTTCTGCCCAGTCTACTTGTTTGCAAAAAAATTATTCAACTAGCATTCTCTCCCAGGATCAGACAGGTGGAACTTTACAGAAAATTTGAGGCCCTGGTGGAAAAAACTGGGTTCATTTTTTTCTTGATGAACTTAGTGATTCTAGAATTTTGCTCTAAGGATGTGATCCTGGAGGTCTAACCATGTCTTCCATTTCCTTCTGCTCCCATCCCTGCCAGCCTGGTATACTGCTGTGCTTGGGTCAGGTACTGAATAAGTAGTATTACATCAGGAGATTGACATGGTTTGTTTGTTTTTTATCATTTTTATAAGCCATATCAAAAAGAAGGCAATTCTTTTGCAAACTAGTTCCTGGAACATCATGGATATTCCAAAGCTGGCAGTTTGAGTATAAGGTGTCTGAAGGCCTAACAGCTGTTAGTCGCATTTGTTTATTGTCATGTTTTTATCAGTACAGGTCTTTTAGCTGGGTCACTTGACTTAACCACTTTCCCATTTGACATAGACAGCTGGAGCTTGGGCCTCTTTCAACCGGACAAGTTCTGCTTTTATCTGTTTTACATATTGGGCTTCTATTTAAGCTCTTATTTGAAGAAAAGCTTCTGCTGCTGAAAAAAACAAACCCGTTGAAGTATGTCAGTTTCAAACTGATCTATGAAGGTGCTTTAGAAACTCTAAAATGTTTTATTCTAATTTTACATTTTAAATATAATTATTTTTAAAACAATAAAAAGTACCAGTCCACCTATATACCGTTTTGTATATAGCAAACATTATGTATATGGCATAACATTTGTGTTAAGTTCAAAACCTGAAACTTGGAAGCACACTGTTTACTTACACCTCCACATGAGAAGAAATTAAACGCTTGTGGAAGGATGCACAGGATGTCGGGTAATGGGCAGGGCAGGGCAGTGGCGGTGCTGTAGCCATGCTGGTGGTTTTAGCACATAATTTCTTTTGTTAAAAATAAATCTGTGGTAAAGTCAAGATATGTTAACTTTCTCATAGATGTGTAGTCATATGTTCACTAACTGGATCTTCTCAGCAGAGTATAGACATAAAATTACCCTTTCAGTGAAGAAATACACTTTTCAGCTCTGTGAATTTCAAGTCTTAGAATATTAAGGGTTCATTATTAGAATTATAGAAGATAAAAGCCACAGAGGGGCCTTTAGAAGTGAGCCAGTTCAGTATTTTTATCGGTTTGCTCTCTGCCATTTTCCTAGTACTTTGAACCATACCTTACACACTTAGGTGCTTAGGAAATATTTGTTGAGTGAATAAGTGATATTGGGAACACAACCTAATTTATAGGAGAGTTCTTGGCCTAAGTATTTAAAATGTAATGAAAGGATTGTGGTCTTAAAAATAATATTTCTTATCTTTTAGATATGGGTAAATGTCATCTTACCAAAGGCAAACAGGCTCTAGAGATTCGAAGTAGTTTATCTGAAAAAAGAGCACTTACTGATCCAGTACAAGGAACAGCGTATTCTGCAGAGTCTCTGGTGCGGAACCTACAGTGGGCCAAGGCACACGGTACAGCAAAGTCTGGTTTTTGTGAGCTTATATTAAATCATGACTTTTTTTTCCTCCTGAGTAGACAGCTTTCCTCCCAATTTTTCAGTGAAAATATTTTAGCCAAGTGGGCAAGCACAAGACTTAACAAATGTTTCAGTTACAGATATTACACTGATTTATTTGGTGTTGGAAATAGTAAATTATTTAACTCATTATTTTCACCATTGGTAAAATTAGAATATGATCATTTAAAAAACAGTTATCAATTTATCTAGTGTACCGTCCCTTAGACAGTTCTACATGTGAACTGTTGAAGTGTTCTGTTTCAAAATTCAACACACCTGGGTTCTGATCCTGTCTCTACCACTTGATAAACATGTTATCCCTAAAATGGGGAGAAGTAATACTTACTGGATAGGGTTGTTAGCATTGAATGAGATCACATGTGTAAAGAGACAAGCATGGTGGTGAGCAGATACTATCTGCCCATAAATATCACTGAGCATTTTGTCTTTGACTTGAATCAGTGGGTTCATGATGAAGACAAAAGAAGGTGAGGTGAGATTCATACCTGTAACTTTCGTAACATACGAAAATATATTCTTTGGTAAATTAGCATATTAAAGCACATTAAAATGTAATATGCCATAAATATTCTTGGCATTCCAGATAATTGGATAAGTAATTGAAATTGACTCTTTTCTTTTAAAAAATCTCTAATCAATAGTAACAAAATCACAGTAGTAAAGATCAATAGTAAACAAAACCTTTTTATAAAATGAAACTGAAGATGATTATGCTAAGCAAAATAAGCCAGTCAGAGAAAGACAGATATCACATGATCTCAATTATATGTGGAATCTAATGAACACAATAAAATGATGAACAAAATAGATCCAGAGACACAGAAGCTGATGAATCTCAGAGGGAAGGCGGGAGTGGGTGGGTGAGTGGGTAGAGATTAATCAAAGAATTTATATGCATATATGCATAACCCATGGACACAGACAATAGTGTGGAGAAGGCCTGGGGGCAGGGGGACTGGGGGGGTCAAGAGGAGGAAAAGGGGGGTGGACATCTGTAATACTCTCAACAATGAAGATTTAAAAAATAAAGGGGACACTCGTTTCCAGTCTTCTGCTGCCACTTAGAAATAAAAAAAAATTAAAATGAAACTGAAAGGTCAAGTAGAAAATATTTGTAACAAATTTGATAAGTAGATAATTTTTTATAATAAAGAGCCCATGCAAAATAGTAAAACAAAAACATTAAGAGCCCCCTTAATTAATAATCAAAGGATGCAAATTCAGTAATTCACACAATTGAGAATATATTGATAAGACAAATATAGAAAATGGCAAAAACTAAAATAGTAATTATAGAAAAGAAAATTAATCTATGATGGCATAAGTTCTTTTTTGTAACCCCATCAAATAGGCAAACTTTTTGAAAATTAATATTACCTTATGGAAATGTTATGGAGAAACTAGTATAGTTATGTCCTATGTAAGTAGAAAACTGTTACAGTTGTGAGGAACCATCAGATAGCCATATCCAACAATCCTAAAGCATTAACTATATATAAGAAATATTAACTATGGTAGAATAACAGTAAAACCCAGAAATATTATATTCAGCAGTGGCAGAATTGTTAAAGGTAGCAAATCATTGAGTGACATTATGCTTTATTAAAAACTGTTTTCACCCTGGCTGATATGACTTGGTTGGTCATTGCCCTGTGCACCAAACAAAAAAGCCCAATATTCTGTTGGTCAAGCAAATAAAAATCTTTCATTTACTGTTCTCTTATGGTTCTTGTCCCTTCACATATATAATTTTTATAGTGGTAATGAAAGGTATACATACACTTGTAAATATATTTTTCCTATTGCCACAATTTTCATTAAAGTAGTTTTTTAAAAAGTATATTTTTAACACCAGTTCAACAAAGTTAATCTTGGATTTTAATATGTTTTTATTGANCAGGGTGCATATGGGAGGCAACTGATCAGTGTTTCTCTCTCTCTCTCTTTCTCTGTCTCTATTCCTCTCCCTCTCCCTCTCTAAAAATCAATAAAAACATATTAAAATCCAAGATTAACTTTGTTGAACTGGTGTTAAAAATATACTTTTTAAAAAACTACTTTAATGAAAATTGTGGCAATAGGAAAAATATATTTACAAGTGTATGTATACCTTTCATTACCACTATAAAAATTATATATGTGAAGGGACAAGAACCATAAGAGAACAGTAAATGAAAGATTTTTATTTGCTTGACCAACAGAATATTGGGCTTTTGTTTTCCCTTTTTTTAATTGTGTGTGTATATCTTTAAACAATATGTTATAGAATAATTTTAAGCAAAAGAAAGTGTTCTTCTAACTGTATTTGCCCTATAAAGAATATTTGTTTGCTGTTTACCATCAGAAAACTTTAAAAAATTATTTATGTTATTCTTACGTTTTTTCAGAACTTCCAGAAAGTATGTGTCTTAAATTTCAGTGTGGTGTTCAGATTCAATTAGGATTTGCGGCTGAGTTTTCCAACGTCATGATAATCTACACAAGTATAGTCCACAGACCACCCGATATAATAATGTGCGATGCCTATGTTACAGATTTTCCACTTGTAAGTCTCTCCTTTTTTATTTAAAATCTAATGATGCCCGGCCGAGTGTGGCTCAGCGGTTGAGCGTTGACCTAGGATCCAGGCGATTGGGGTTCGATTCCCAGTCAGGGCACATGTAGGGCTGTGGGCTCGATCCCCAGTCGGGGGTGTGCAGGAGTCAGTCAATTGATGTTTTGCTCTCATGTCTATGTTTCTCTCTCTCTTCCTCTCTCTTTCTAAAAATCTTTTTTAAAAAAACTATTTTAACTTTTCATACCCTAAGAGATCAAATATGAAAGGATAAAAAGTACTAATCATATGGCAGGAGTAAGTTCCATTTAAAAACTGTTGTTTCCAATCTGAGTTATTACAATAGTATAAGTCTTTTTTGTCAAGTTATGGTAGTATATTGGAAGAGTAGAAATCTAGTTCTGTTCTTTCCAGACACTTAGATATGATATGTATTTTGCGTTGTCTGAAAGAAGCCAATAAACAGTACTCCTCTTTCCTACATAGGTGTAGTAAGTTGAGACATGAGAAAGTAGTAGACAAACAAATCTGAAACTTCACCTGATAAAGGCCTCGTGGAGGACATTACTTAGTATGAGAGCAAATGGTGCAGCACTGAAGCCCAGAATTGGACGGGTCTGTCCCCGAGTCACAGCAGCCCTGGACCAGGCTCCCTGGGCAGTCAGCAGGGCAGGTCTGCTCTTGGCCAGAGGCTGGCTCTAAAAAGAAAGAGGGAAAGGCTGCCTTCAGCATGTCCCTTTATTCTTCTTAAATGTATGAATCATATGAATTCTTCTGCACCTTCCCAAAAGTGATGACTAAGATGGAGAGAATCCAGGAGTCACTCCATGGGCTCAGAAGGAATCTTGAGAAGGTTAAGAAGTGTTTCTGGGGATAGTCTGAAATAACTGTCCTTTCAGAGCTAACTTTTTTAATGTACCAGCACAGAATTTAAAATTCCTATTCCTAGAACGTTGTTTTCATTGTTTCTTCAGTCCTGGATAAGTGATTACCTACTTAGGCCAATATTCATGAGAAACCAAGACCCATTAAGATGTTTTATTGTCGCTCTGGCTGCTGTGGCTCAGTTGGTTGGAGCATCATCATCTCATACACGGAAAGGTTGTGGGTTCAATCATGGTCAGGGCACATACCCAGGTGGGTTAGATCCCTTGTCGGGGTGCATGTGGGAGGCAACCCATCTATGTTTCTGTCTCCCTCTATGTGCCTATAGATGTCTCTCTCTCACATTGACGTTTCTCCCTCTCCCTTCCTCTCTAAAATCAATTTTTTAAAAAACATAAAAAGTTTTAAAAAGAAGGAAAAAAAAGATGTTTTATTGTCATAGACAATGTTGTGACTTCCATTGATTTCATTAATACCATTTTCTGATTTTTACAGGACCTAGATATTGATCCAAAAGATGCAAATAAAGGGACGCCGGAAGAAACCGGCAGCTATTTAGTATCGAAGGAGCTTCCCAAGCATTGCCTTTATACTAGACTCAGCTCACTGCAGAAACTAAAGGTTACTACTCTTCTTGTTTATAACTAATAGAAAACTGTTGAAAGTGAAAATTTATTTGGGCATGTAAACCTTGTATTAGAATGTACTGCTTCATCGAGTATGAAATTGAAGTAGAGATAACTGATCTACAGTGAGTCTTAGCAGTGACCCTTTTCAGATTATATTCTGGTTTTGATGCTGGCCTGAGGGGTTTCGTATAAGAGTGTATGCGATTACCCTCCATGTTGCTGAAAAGTTAGGGGCATAGAGCTTAGTCTGCTTTTAAATATTTTAGTATTTTCAAATAATCATTTCTTAGTTCTGTGACTTTCTACAAAACAAATAGCAAATTAGAGTTGGAATTTATTGCGATCTTTTTTCATTTCTTGTTAACTTATAAATTGGGAACTACCTCTGTATGGTTGAGCTTTTTCGTAAAAGCATATCCTTGCCACACCTGAGTTTTTAACTTATTCAATGCCCCATGACCATAGAACATGTTAGCCAAAACTTGGGGAATGAAGTGGGCACTACTGACAGTTGCAGAAGGACAACAGACATAACTATTGCCACCCTGTTCACAGCTCATTCTTTGATCTTTGAAAATCAGCCCATTTTATTATTCAGTTATACCACCTATGATTGTGGATTATTATTTCACACTATTTTGAAAACATCTAAGCTGCCCGGCCAGCATGGCAGCATCGACCTATGATCCCGGAGATCAAGGTTCGATTCCCAGTCAGGGCACGTGCCCGGGGTGCAGGCTCAATCCCCAGTAGGGGGCGTGCAGGAGACAGAAGATCAATGACTCTCTCATCATTGATGTTTCTATCTTTCTCTCTCCCTCTCCCTTCCTGTCTCTGAAAATCAATAAAGATATATTTTTTTAAAAAACACACAAAAAACAGCTAATCTTTTGACTTGGATATGAATCCAGATTATTGTTTGCTGAAGGATCATTCCCCATCTCCAATTAGAGGGAAGGGAAAGTTTCTGAAGCCCCACTGCTCAGGAAATACGTTTTCACTGTTCATCAGGAATATAACACAAGCCCTGCTGGTGTTGCTCAGCGGTTGAGCATCAACCTAGGATCCAGGAGGTCGAGGTTCGATTCCCAGTCAGTCAGGGCACATGCTCGGGTTTCGGGCTTGGTCCCCAGTGGGGGCATGCAGGAGGCAGCTGATCATGACTCTCTCATCATTGATGTTTCTCTCTCTCCCTCTCTCTGAAATCAATAAAGACATAAAAAAAAAAAAAAAAAGAATATAACACAAGATCTCTGTGATCTTGACTACTTTCAATAGTGAGAACTAGAATTATACGAATTCATAGTATTGACTAAGGGAAAAGGAGATGATTATAGCAGCCTTTCTTAGTGTAGGGAAGGTGTAAAGGATGCCTTGAGGGTTTGGAACCTGGAAAAGGGGAGTGTGAATGGGTTTTCATTGTTGCTTGGGTTTTCTATACTTGTGTGAATGATATTTAAGCTCAGTGATAAAAATAACAAACTTTACTCCTTTTCAGGAACATCTGATCTTCACAGTATGCTTATCCTATCAGTACTCCGGATTGGAAGATACCATAGAGGAAAAGCAGGAAGTGAATGTTGGGAAACCTCTCATTGCTAAACTGGACATCCATCGAGGTTTAGGAAGGAAGACTTGCTTTCAAACTTGTATTATGTGCAATGGCCCTTACCAGAGCTCTACATCCACCTCAGCGGGATCTGGACATTATCATTCTTCTCAAGACTCATTCCTTGGTGTTTACCACTCACATCTGGGTAATTCAAACAGTGTCATGCCATCGGATAGCTGTCGTTGCAGCCGGACTGCAGATACATTTATTTCAAGTCATCGTACACACCATTTTTCATGTCAGTTTGGTAGAAGTAACGTGCCAGTTGAGACAACTGATGAAATACCATTCGGCCCCTCTGATGAGCTCAGAATTTCTGAGAAGTGACCTTGTTTTTGAAAGTTACCGTAATTACTAGATGCCTCATATGCAACAGTCTTATAGAAAGTGAGGTTTTGTGAAAAAGCACATATGTGTATGTAGAGAGAGAAAATAACAGCCATTTCATGGCAAGCTCAGGACTTTAAGATGTTGGAATTATATTATTTAACCACAGGCTTCCTCGCCCTCCTTTCTCTTCTAAGGCTTTGTGAATTGGCCGATTCGTTCTGTAAGAGTAAGGTATGGATGTATATGTGTGTGTTTGTATATAACAAAAGTATTGTCATTTTGACCACTCTGAAGTAAGAACAGTGGGAATGGCATTATTGGAGAATAAGTCATTGTATTTTTAGAACCAGAAAAAGAACCTTGGTGATCATCAGGCTTAACCTAATTTTATCAGCAGGAGAAACAAATTGAGGCATCTTGTTTAAGTGAAAGCTGGCACTGAGGACCTCCAGATTTCTGTTCCCGTGTTTATTCCACTACACACTGCCTTCCTAATAGATTCTGAGACCAGTATTATTTTTGTAGATCGATTTAAATATATATATGTAAATATACATACCTGTACATACTAGAAATGTACAAACTTTAGTTTTTTTGCTACAAATATCAGTTAAGAGGTTTGTCTATAAATTTTGTATAGAACAAGCTGAAATTTTTTGGTCTAAGGTCATGAAAGCACATGAGAGGTGACAAAATGTTTGTCTATGTTAAAGCTAGACCGCAGGAATAGTTTTCTCCTGGATAATCTTGGTAGCTGCCTGTCTGAATCTTACACACATTGGACATGTCTTCCTTGATAACAAGTATTTTCTTACTGAATTTTACTCACGTTAGGAGATAATCTTACTGCATTGGTTCTACCCAGAAGCAAGTTAAAAAGGCAGCTGTCAATAACAAATAAAAAATTGAATTAGTAATTTTAAAACATTCCAAAAAGAAAATCCTAGGCCCAGATGTCTTCACTGCTGTATTCTACAAAATATTTAAAGATTAACACCAATCCTTTACACACTCTCCCCCAAAATAGAAGATGTAAGAACACTTCCCACTTCATCTTCTGAAGCCAATATTATCGTAAAACAAAACCAGACAAAGACATCACAAAGAAACTACGGACCAGTATCTATTATGAATATACATTAACAAATCATCAACAAAATACTAGCAAATTGAATCTAGCAACATATAAAAAGGATTATACACCATGACCAAGTGGGATTTATCTCAGGAATGCAAGGTTGGTTTAACATCCAAAAATCAAGGTAATATGCAAATGATTCTCATTATTCACAGTAGTTATATTCTGTGAAGTTACCGGTAATACTGAATTAGTGAATACAGAGCCATAGCTCCTGGGGGAAGTGTGTGTATTTACATACATATCTCAAATAGATTATAATCTTAAATCCTAAAAATAACTTATCCTGGTATATTCTGTTTTCTCTATTTTACAAAAGACAAAGGGAGGTTCAGAAGTATTAAGTGCCTTACCTGAGGCCACCGCACTCACAGGTGCCAGATTGGAATTCAAACCTGTCCAACTAGCCCCAGAGCCAGACCTTCTTGCACTGCACTGCCCTGTCCCTTGCCTTCTCCATCATCTGGTCATCTCTGTAGGAGAGCGGAAACAAGAAGGTATTGCCTTATTTGACCTCAGCTGAGAGCACGCACATCAGGGACCTCAGAATCTTCACTGGTCTGCACATGTCTGTGAATGATTATAAAAGTGCTGGAAGTATTGACTTTGGGATTATAAATAAATAGGCAAATTTAAAAATCAGAATTGTGAATGATGACCAACTGTGCCGTGTTGACGAAAGACAAAATTACCGCAATTGTCTTGATAGATGCAGAAAAAGCATTTGATAAAATTCAGCACCCTTTCATGATAAAAGTAGTCAGTGGCTAGGAATGACAGGGAACTTCCTCGACATGATAAAGGGCATCTCTGAGAAACCCACACCTGACATCCTACTTCATGGCACCAGACTGGATGCTGAATTCTTCCGTCCAAAGATCAGGAAGAAAACCAGGATGTACTCTCTCACCACTCCTGTTCAACATTGTACTTGGGGTTCCAACCATGGTAATTAGGCAAGAGAAAGAAAGACGGCAACCATATTAGGAAAGAAGTAAAACTATATGTATTTACTCATGACATGATTCATTATATAGAAAGTCCCACGCAACTCATTTAAAAACAAAGGAGTTCATCAGGTTACAAGATAGATACAAGATAAATACACAAAATTCAGTTTTCTTGTTTTCTTTTTTTTTTTGATGAATGACTTTATTTTTTACACTTAAAGGCTGATGAAAAATCATTATGAATTCTATTAAAGAAAATACATCTCAATTAAAAACTGGCAACTATAGCCCTAGCTGGTTTGGCTTAGAGGTTAGAGCGTTGGTGCTTGGACTGAAGGGTCCCGGGTTCAGTTCCAGCCAGAGTATATACCTGGGTTGCAGGCTCAATCCCCAGCCCCAGTTGGGGTGTGTACAGGAGGCAACCAATCGATGTGTCTCTCACATAGATGTTTCTCTCTCTCTCTCTTCCCCTTCCACTCTCTCTGAAAAGCAATGGAAAAAATATCCTCAGGTGAGGATTAAAAAAGAAACAAACAAACTGGTGCCTGGCGGACATGGCTGAGCAGTTGAGCATCGACCTAGGATCCAGGAGATCGGGGTTCGATTCCTGGTCAAGGCTCATGCCCGGGTTGTGGGCTTGATCCCCGTCAGGGGCGCACAGGAGGCAGCCGATCAAGGACTCTCATCATTGATGTTTCTCTCCCTCCCTCCCTCTCTCTGAAATCAATAAAAATATATTTTAAACATACATATATTTTAAAAACAAAAAAACCTGGTAATTATACTTATTAAATACTATTAAAGTTCTCTAAAACACAACTTGAAAACATCTGACATGATTGATTAATCTCAATACAGTGGGTTCAAGACAACTGTACATGTTACATAACATCAAGGCTAGATTACAAATTATTACAGTCATCACAGTCAAAACACGTTTTCTTTTCAACGCATTGGATGATTCATGGGCAGTATTTTGTGATGACATCATGTTAGTGGTAATAAGAATGATTTGGGACCCAATTGGATTAATCAGAACATTCTGAACTGCTGATGTTGCAGGAATTGGTGCTTTTACGGCTGGGGACTGCAAAGTGGGCATCTGTACTGTAAACCTTTGCCCTGTGAGGGACACAGGAGTCCCTGCTTTAGCTGAAATGACTTGGTTTGTGGAGTTGGGTATGCCAAGTATGAGAGTACTTGGTCGTCTAGTGACTGAACTAACACTTAACTGTGAAACTTATTCTTTCCACAGAAATAGATGCCCTTTTTTTTTTTTTAAAGACTTAAGTCTATAGTTTGGAGCAGCCAACCAGTATCTATCAGGTGGCAGTCTAGGAATGTGGCTTGATCAATGGCAAAAGGGTTTGATTTCTTTGCCTTGCAGTATCTAATGAAAAATCTCTTGGGGGAGGAGAGGTGAAAGACAAGTCAGCATGACACTGGATTGCCAATGGCACATCATCTTCATCAACAGATTTCTTAGCAGGGCTTGAATAAATTTTTCATCATCTAGAATTGTCACATATCAGAAGGCAAACTTCAAAATTAACTTTTGTGCTTTAAAGGATGTTATCAAGAAAGTGAAAAGACAAGCCACAGAATGGGAGAAAATTTTTGAAACTCATATCTGATTAGAGACTTGTATCCATAATATATAAAGAATTCTTTTAATTTATAATAATAAAACATATATGTGTGTGTGTATATATGCTAGTGCTTAATTATGGTGATTGTAGAGCAGTAACCAATGAACAATATGGTAGCCTCTAACACCATGTGGTAACTGAGCAATTGAAATATAGCTAGTGTGAGGAACTGAATTTTTTAATTTTAGTTTTAATTTAAATAGCCACATCTAGCTAATAGCTTTCATATTTGTGCTGCAGTAGAAAGTGGAGCTAGTAGGTAGGATAAAGGAACATTTACTTTTCACTTTATACTCTTCTGTACATTTGAATTTTTTTTTTTAATATGTTTTTGTTGACTTCAGAGAGAGAGGAAGGGAGAGTGAAAAAGAGAAACATCAATGATGAGTCACTGATTAGCTGCCTCCTGCACAGCCCCTACTGGGGATTGTACCCTGGCTGGAAATCGAACCGTGAATTCCTGGTTCATAGGTCGATGCTCAACCACTGAGCCACACTGGCTGGGCTGTATATTTGAATTTTTAAACTAAGCTCGTATTTATAATTTTAAAACATTTAAAAATAACTGTAAGGATGGTGCAGTCTTTGTCTTTTCTATCAGCCATTGCTTTTATTTTACTTGAATCTCTGACACCAATTGCTTTGTAATAGCCTAGGATTTCTACTTCAGTGACTAAGGTGACCTTTCAGTGTTAATATGAGGAATCCATTCGGGTAGTAAAGGCTCACTTAAATCCAAAGCTCACATTTGATTCTGGGAAAGGGGGTATTGTCTGGACAGTAGCTAAAAATTATAAAGTAGCAATTATAAGCGATGTGTTTTCTAATAAAAGAAAAATACATGACATCGTATGACTATAAGACATTAAAGTGTTATCCATCCAGAGGCGAACAGGCCAAATAGATGGTCAAGCAGCAGCCCGCCTTAGGAAGCAAAGTCTGTAGAAAATGCCCCTCCTTTCCTTCAGCCTCCAATGTCTGTTTCTTTTCAAGTCTCTGACTTGCACGGGAAGCAACAGTGAGGTGGTCTCTTCACTAACCACGGTTTTTTGACTTGTCAAACTCAAGAAAATTCAGTCATGTAGCCACAGCTCAGATAATTGATATATCGACACATAGATTGACACAAGTTTAATGCCATGATGAGATCTGAGTTTTTTATACTTTTAAGGTCTTTTTAAACAAAAGCCTAATAAATATTGTTGTTTCCTGTTATTCGAACATCCCCCTGGTATTTATGAGCGATCATTGCTTTTAACTGTCAACGGATGCGAAACGCTCAAAATTACACGTTACTTCTGTGTATTTCACTCTGTTTACCTAGTTTGACACTGTTCAATTTTATCCAGGCCTCACTAAAACATATTTTTTAATACTTTCCCTTGAATTAGGTGACAGTTCTCATAACGATATATTAATAAAGAAAAATATACCCAGAACATGAGAATGTTTGCCTAAGTGTATATAATTTTTCCCCCAGTTCGACAGCATTAAAAATATTTTAGCATCAGACACAAAGTTTGGCTTCCCTAAGAAGGCACCTGAGTCCCACTCACTCTTCCACCCAAACTCACTTGGTAAAAGGCAGCCTGCATCTACTATTTTAGTAGAATGAGCGGTTCATAAATGTTATCCAAGCTTACGGTGGGAATGTTTATGCAAAAGGAGGAAAGCGAATAAGCCTTGGGGTGAGGCGTGTAGCTTTGCATATGCGAGGTACAAATGTTGGACACCCACAGTCTCACTGAACTCTCTGCCTTGCAATTTAGAGATAAAGAAACCAATTGTTAGGCAAACCCAAGATGTTAACTGGCCCTGGAGAGCCCAGCTGGCAAGTGGCAGGGGCAGGAGACTCAAACCCAGAACAGGGCCCGTTATGTTTTCCACAACGCTGCTGCTTATTACCCAATAATGAAGACACACAGTCACTGATGATAAACGCTGAACCAGTGCAAACATGATGCGCCGTTAAGTGCACAGATTTGATGAAGTTTTCAATATTGTGTCTAAGAGAAATCTTTGAATGAGCCTGCAAGAACCCATCCTACTCTGAAAACAGAAGGGATGGCCTCTTGCATTTGATAACTGGATCTTGGTGTTTTTCCAACGCGGCAGGAAAAGAGCCAACAGTAATTTTTGATGCCGTAAGTGTGTGAACAGTGTGGCTTAATATTTCACCCTAAGTATATGAAAAACACATTTTAAATATGGAAACACTATTCTTAATGGAGAAAGTCATTTACCACCTCTAGGTGTGAAAGTCACAGGCATCCAAAAATTTCCAAAGGCGTTGACCTGAAATGAGCAATGTTGTTGTATGATGCTCAACAGAGTACAGGTGTTTAAAATATTTTGTGTTTTCATAAGCTTTAGTTTTGCCACTTTCAACTTTGTGTAGCATGGTCATTATTGTCTTACAAAGATTTGTGTCTTCCCTGAAAACCGATCATTTTCATAATAATCATCTTCTATGTGTCTCTGTCTCCCTTGCTGGCAGACTCAGATGCCGACATTAACATCTGACCTCAGTGTCCTCTACTCTGTGCCCAGTGTGGGCAAGTGGCTTTGTCTCCCTTTCCAGTTTCCTCTTCTAACAGCGGACCTCATACCGGGGGCCAGTGGTTTCAAACTGTTCAGAGTAGCTTCTCTCTGAAAGGGTGGGAGTGGGGACCCACACCTCTGTCTCATCTGGAGCAACTCTGCTTTTATCTGTTTGTGATGGCCTTCCCCAGTTAGCTTTGGTTGGCGTAAAAAATTTTTCAGCCAGAAACCATGGGTCTCCTCTCACCAGGTGCCACCATTGCTTGGAGACTCTGCCCTCATGCACACAGCCATTCCCCACGCCTGAGCTGGGTCACTTCGGGCAGATGACAGCGCTGAGAAAGAAGGGGACAGAAGCCCGGCCGAGTGTGGCTCAGCGGTTGAGCATCGACTTAGGATCCAGGAGATCGGGGTTCGATTCCAGGTCAGGGCACGTGCCCCGGTTGCAGGCTGCAGCCGATCAATGACTCTCTCATCATTGACGTTTCTATCTCTTTCTCTC